GGGAAAACTGCGCAGGACCACCGTCAAGAGCTCCAGCGAGCCTACAAGCACGAACTGCCGGGATCCCCACTGGGATCGAAAGCATTCTAGGGCTTAGGGCTTAGAGTCCGGCATGCCTCTAAGAGTCTCTATGCATTTCCGTAGAGTCTTTTCAGATAATTTCGGCTCAATGCTGCTTTTATACTTGCAAGTGATGGAATGGGTCATCAGAGGTTACCCCTAAGCGAACTACACGCTTTGCTAGTTGTATTCATTGCTTTGGGGGCCTGGTTGCAAACTTCTGCGCAGGCACGCGGTGCATGAAGCGTACAAGAAGCAGCTCCGCACCCTGCAAGAGGCTGGGCGCCGCGTTTTGAGGCAACTTACAAATGCTCGAGCCTGAAGCAGTAATAAACGGATCGTCGGAAAAATCACCAGTACTATTATTACTTTGGGTTACATGAATGATACTATGCACCGAAACCCTTTTCTAATTCTTCAGACCTCTGTATTGCCCACCAGTTCTAGGCTTCCGATAAGCAGCACTCGGAGCACAAGGCTTGCAGGAAGGAGTGTGAAGGCACCGAAAGACGGATTCATTCAAACCCATCTATCTGTGTTCAGAAAGCAATCGGCCGGCATTTTGAGTGGGTGGGGACGATGTGGAAATCCACTACCCATGGCCAAAGATATGGAGACTGTTTGCTTCATCCACATGCTAATGCCATTCCAAGAGTCCAAAGTGTGCAGCTTGCCAGCACGTCCAGTTCGTCACATGCTAACCCCAGACCCAGCTGGGCGGGAACAAAACTCTCATGTCAAAGTCGCCAGGAAGAGACTTCGGGGCCGGTTGTGGGTTTCAACTGTCCTGTGTCCACGCAGACAAGCCGCCTGGGAATGTTCCAACATGTTGTTTGTCAGAGATCTACATTTCCAGAATCCTCAGTTCGCAAGCCCTGCACCCTGATGAAGTCTGATTAAGGTTCGTCTTCTGATTGTTGGTGTAGACGCCCGAAAACTAAACAGCACCCGGATGCTAACCCCCAAACTTTCCGGGCAGGCTTTGAAGATGCGACCACCCACGCCCACCCTGGACAAGGCAGCAACTCTGAGCTGGGCCTCTCGATGTGCCGGGCATTTGTCACATGTCATACCCGAACCGTAAAATCCCGCAGCAATGAACGACACTCCGATCGTGAATTCTGAATTGCATCCCTAATCATCCTACGAAGTGGAAGACGTACACTTACCAGCTCTTACAAACCGAAGGATAAGAGCAGGCCTCAATAATAAATGCTTGCACATTTCATGTAGCATCTACCCGCATAGCACCCAAACTTACATAATAATGCAGTCAGGCCGTTTTCGGAAACTCAGAAGATGAGGCAGCCCGCCCCCCCCCCCTACAGACCAGACATGATAGTATCAAAGAAGGTTGTTGTAACGCTCCAAGTGCTCGGCGGAAGCTGTGAGGCGGAGCCTCGAGCGCTGGCGTCTCTCAGCACGCTCCTCAGGTTTCAGAAAGGTCGGGGCGCAATGCAGACTACAATATTCGCAGATCATCTATGCATGCATGAATCATGTCTGTCTGTCCGCTTGTTTGCCTGTCTGTATGTATCTATGTTAGGTACTCTGAGGCATGCATAGTGTTGTTTGTGTCTATGTCTCGTTTCATAGATTTGGGCATGACTTCATGCGCTGACGGATTCCCGGATCGGTAGAGTCCGACAAACCGATCGGCAGAGAGACAGACATGCAGACAGGACTTACAGCACGCACACATCCGCACACACTTACACATGTATGTGTCTGTGTGTGTGTGTGTTGGGCTATTGCTATACATGGTACACTACATAAACAGAACCATATATATACATGCTCATTATGCGTGTTTACACAGATAAAGATACATAGCATTTTAGCATCATATAATAGCCGCACATATACACACGCAGATGTCTAATTATACGTATGTGCATTGAGGATGTAGAACGGCCCTTCTAGACTAGACCCTTTATTGAATCGCTTCGAGCCAGAAGATGAATTGGTGCTTTTTGAGCTCCGCCAGAACGGTGAAGATGCTGGAACCGTCAGCTGCATGCTTGCAGACTAACATGTAACGTCGCCAAAGTTTCTTCGGAACTCGAAACAGGCGGGCATGTTTCCGTTCGTCTGCCTAAAAACTGCACGAGCAGTTGCCAAGGCAGCAAGAGCAGTTCTACAGACGAGGCGGGTCCCCGATCACTGCACAAAGACAGCATTCCAAAGCACGATGCGTCAAAGTGTTTGATTTTTGTCCGTAGCCTGGGCATTTCTTACCGGACACCTTGTTGTCTTAAGCTCGGTGCTTTGCTCGCCACAAGTTTCTGCTTCAACTTTCAACCTGACCGACAAGGCAGGCAGTCGGCACTTTTTGAACGAAGGAATTGGAGCAGCACTTACAAGCTCCAAATCCAAACTCCCAGTCCTTGAGCTCTACACTGCACCCAAACCTGGAGCCGCTGAAGCGCAGAAAGCCCTTGACATTTCGACACACACACACAGATATATATATATATATATATATGTATACACATATCTATATACATATATATATATATGTATACACTTACATTATGTAGAAACATATGTATATATGTATATACATACATATATATATATATATATGTGCGTGTGTGTTATTCATTAAAATATTTCTGTATATAAACAATGTGGATGTATTCATATATGTATATATATATATACATAATGCATATGCGTTTTTCGGCTCAAAGCTGGGACGTGGCCCCATCTTGGGGCTGGCGGCCCGCAGCTCGGCTAATGACCTCTGCTTGCGCTCAGGTTGGGGTCAAGGCTTCGAGGTGGGTCCGCGGTGTTTTAGATTAATAAATTGACAAATCAAGAAAATAGATGAACAAGTACTTAGACAAACGTATATATGTACATATGTCTATACATGTATATATATATATATATATATGTACATATATATATATATATATATATATATATATATATATATAATATGATGCAGGGCTGCCACACCCGCCTCCCCCATATACATACGCATATGTATATATATATATATATATATATGTGTACATATCTGTGTGTGTGTGTGTGTGTGTTTAGATTGCGCCTAAAGCCGTGCTAGGCCGAAGTGCATGCTTGTAGCATCAGGCTGCGGCACCAGCCAGGCGCATGGGATGCAGAGGGAGGTTCCACCATAGGAGCTGTAGACCCTTAATTCTTGCAGCAATATGTCTTGGTGAACCTTCTTTTCTTGGGCGCTGCAGAACTTGGATCTGAGGCACACCTCCGTCTTTGAAGTGAAGTTGCCATCCGCCCCTTTGTCAGCAGAATTGCCTTGGAAACTGTGGGTTTAGGGTTGGAGGATTCAGGGCTCAGGGTTTAGCATAGGCTTAGTGCGGTGCCGGAAGTGGATGTGAGGTGCAAAACGCGGGACATGAGGGCATATGCACTGCAGCCCCTCCTCAAAAAAGGGGTTTTGGTAGGGTTTCAAACTTCCAGCAGCTGGTTGAGCCTCCACAGCGCGACAGCCAGAGGAAGCGTCCTTGAGGCCAAACAGTATGAGCCCGTCCATTCGCTGCACTCCTTCCCCATGAACTATATTCAGTTGCGACATTGCACGCGTGTATTTGGGCTGTATGATTTGGATGCAAGTCTGCTTCATCTTGTGGGGACGTCAGTGTGTGGTCGGTTCTAGAAGTGCTGCAGTACTGCAATAGAAGACTCCTGATGGTGATGATGCTGGAAACTATTGCTGACGACGTCGACTGCCACTGCTGCTGTTCTTGATTTCAATTCAAACTGCCACTACCGCTAGTGTTCATAGTGACATTTACGTTTATGCTCGACTCTGATTACGAACTGTGCACGCTCTGTGTCTGCGCACGAAGGCATCTCAGCCCAGACTACCTTCTTGAATGCTTTCCCTACAGTAGCTTCCTCGGAAGGGTTGCCAGTTAGGGTTTAGGCTGGGTTTGGGGTTTAAGGAACCCTAAACCTGCCTGGTCTTTAAGGTTCTGCCAGGGAGGCAGGGCGAGAGAAACCTGTCCGCAGTCAGAAGCTCCGGACGGGCATGTGGGAGTTGCCGAAAATCAGGGGTACTTCATTTTCGGGTACTTATAATAAGGATTCTACTATTTCGGGTACTATATTAGGGTCCCCCATTTTCGCAAACCCTCATGTGTCTTGTTTTTTCGCAGGCAGCAACTGTCGCCAGACCACCCCTCCATAAATCCTCCAACAGACCCTTGTTCCAGACTGCATAAATTGTATAGAGGTAGTTGGGAGCATGACGGGAGCCTGTGGAGGGTCTCTTCTTGGTGTCCGGGGGGGGGGGGAAGCGGGTTGGAGCGGGTGGTTTCAGGGAGGGATGGGTTCGGAGTGTATGGCGCAGTTGGGTATGGAAGACAGTACTGCTGAAACAAGCATTTTTGATAATTGAAGTTGGCGTAATGTAAGAGCACAAGCGAGATGTTGCCAATTAATTGGCGTGTACTTTGGGTTTTACTATCATCTGGCAGTGCAGAGCCGAATGTGAGTACAAGTGAGGAGCGATAGCACAATCGATAGAACTGTCGCAGAGCATAGCGACAATGCGGGTGGCGCGAACACGGAGCATTGAGTTGCATGCGAGCACATATAAAGAAGACTTGACGAGCAAGAACCGCGGCAATTTGGATGGCATCTTCTGTGTTAAGGGTTCGTGATCGTAGAATTCAATGCAGGGTCGACGGCCCGAAATCCTTTCAGGGTTCACTGGGGGTTAGGACTTGGGATAGAGAATTTGTGCTTCAGGATACAGAGGAGTGCTCTCGATATGACAGCCTCTTTGCTATCTTCGTGCTGACCGTTGTTCCATGCCCACCTCTCGGGTGCCAAGATGTCAATGCACCCCTAAATCCTGAAGCCTAAGACTCGCAAGCTCTTGAACCCAACCGGCCCCAAGCCACCGAAACCCGCATGAAGGAAAGCCTGCTCCAACTCTGCTCAGGATGTTGACGTCCTTGCTGTTGCTGCTCCCAGGCCACCCACATCTCGGTTTTGCAGTTGTGCGGCACAGTTTCCGTTGGAGGGATGGTTTGGGGTCTGTGAAAACGGGATGGTTTAAAGCTTAGGCTGCAAGACTTTGCTTTCATTTTCGGGACTCCAGGATCTAGGCTGAGGTTGAAGCTTTCAGAATTTCAATGCCGTGGCCCTACGCTCTGTGTTAAGGATGCAAAGCGGCATCTGGGTCACGCCTTGAGCACCAGCGCAAATAGGGCCGGCTCTTGGATGCTCAGCTTGGGAGAAAACCTGTTCTGGGGGACTGGGCAAGGCTTGAATCCCCACCGTAATCACTTATGCTGTTTCACCCTATGACTCCCGGAGTTGGAGACATTTTCGTGTCTGGCTGTGTGTCGGTGATTTACTTCGTTGCAGAGGCCACAGCCAGGGTTGCCGCAGGGGGCGACTGAACTTCACAGATGCCCAGCCAACATTGGTTCACGAATCAAAACTGGTCCAACTTCTGCTTGAAAGGTTTAGCCTCTTCGACATCATTGCGGCAGCATGCAAGTGATTTCTCCACGCGAGTTCACGAAGTGGAGGCCGGCGGCACCTGCCCAAAGTTGTGCTAACTCTAAGGTAGGATGTGGACTAAGACCATCCTTGCAATAAGTGGGAGTTTTCGAAAACTAGGGGTACCTTATTTTGGGGTCCTTATAATAAGGATCCTACTATTTCGGGTACTATATTAGGGTCCCCTATTTTCGGAAACTCCCAAGTGATGAAGTCACAAGTACCCCCCCAACTCCTTCAACCCGACCCACATTGCTTGCATCTTGGGCTTGGACTTATTCCCTTCGTGGGCCTCCTTCGCACAGATGCTCTAGGGCTGCTACTCTGACTGCACGGAAGCATGCCCAGCTGAAGCCTGCAGCCTGCGATGCTTCAAGGCTTCTGAGGTGAGGAAGGCACCTGAGAAGCTTCAGAGTACAGAAGCACACACTTCTTCAACACAGATACCGTAAGCAGACTCCTGGAGGCCACGAACCCGAACTCGCTTTAGGCAAGCCGTGTAGCTATGGTATGTCTTCATATCTTGGCGGAGCTCCGGCCAGGAAATCCTCCTGAAGCCGTCGGCGTGGTCGATCTACCCCCCTCCACCGCTGCCACCTCGATTCCTCATCGTCACGAGCCCACAGGATGTCTGGGCTCAGGGAAAGGCTTAGGGCTGTGAGCCTCCCGGGCTCATCGTTGGTAGAGTCCTAAGAATGCTCTCAACTAGAAGTCCTCCGAGCACCCTCCAAAGACGTCCCGATTCTTACTCTTGCAGGAAATCCGGTCAGATCTCCGTGCAGCATAGCGTGAATACCACCACAAGCCAAGCAAAGCACCTGTTCATGTCAAGGAGCGCATCGTCAGCTACTCACAGGCCTTTCAGGGTTTGGTGTTCAGTACGCAAGTTACAATTAGGGTATTCGCAGTGCTGGATTGAGAACGAAGGCTGAGAAGGAGATAGGGTCTACTCACACGGCGGGATACCGTCTTTTGCCGCTGGTTCTTCGTCCCTTGACACAGATCGGGGACGACTACTCCGCCGTCAAGGGCCTGGTCAAGCCGCTGATCCAAGGCGGAGTTGCGCCTGGGCAGCTTCTGGCAGACTGCACTGAAATGTCAATTGGCAGCGCCGAGTGAAGATTGCCACCATGCTGACGTGTATGCAATACTGATAAGGATTTGCCCAAGGGCGTCGCTTTCGCCCCATGGCAGCAGTGTCTGGTGAAAAGTGTAGAACCACAGCACAGAACGACACATTTCGTGTTGTTCCATTGTTCTGGCCCTTCTTGGTCCCACATTGCTGTATAGCTTTTCTGGAGCATGATCACACCTTCCCGCCAGTATCGTCCACACTTGGACAGCTACTACTGCCAGTCACTCCTCTGCTGCAGCTACAACAACTGCTGCTACTAGTCCAGCCGCCGCTCCTGCTTCCTCCTACTAGTACTAGTCGTAGGAGTGTCGTCGTCGTTGCAGTGGTGGTGGTAGTTGTAGTAGGAGCAGGAGCATGAGCAGGAGCATCAGCAGCAGCAGCAGCAGCAGCAGCAGCCATAGCAGTTAACAGTTAGCAGTAGGAGTCGGAGTAGGAGGCTACTACTAGATCTTTTTGATATGTTCCATGGCTGCTGCTACTACACAGCGACTGTAGTACTCAAGTCCACTCGGTGGGCCTGCCAAGGACGCGCGCCACAACCGCCTCTTTGTGGCGGATCCGGGCCTCAAGAGGACAGAAATGCAGCTCTCGAAGATGAATAGTTTGTGCATCGCTACAACATGCGTCCGGGGTCAGAGTTTGTGAGTTTTCAGTAATGTGACCCATTAGATCATCAGACCTTCATGCAATATGGCTTGCTTCGGATATTTGTCGGGCTTGTGATTTCTCGTCAAGTTGGCATACCTGAAGGTCAGTTCAAAAGCCGTGCCAGGATCAAGGCATGGACGCTTTCGCTGGAGCGCTGCCTGTCGCCGGCAGAGAAGGCTTTGTCAGTCTTCACTGAACTTCGACTTTCTTGTGTAGCTTGTTGTTTTTTGCTTATAATCGTTGTCATCAGTTGACGTCGTGCACTTGCGGCACGTGTCTTTCGCAAGTGCAACTGACTGCCGGGAGCTAGCTCGCTGTAAGTGCCCAAGTTTAGCCGCCAATGCGGGATAGAGATTCCTTTCCCTGTCCCCCACGTTTTGGAAACCTAACAACTTTGAACTCCAAGTCCTTGACTCTGCATCCCTTTGGCCTTGACTGGCCTCGATCTTCCGTGTTTTGAAGCGCCCATTCACGGACTTAACCTGCATGTCAGAATCCCGAAAATTCTCTCGGATATCCTTATTTCCTGGCGGGAGCGAGGGGGCGAAGCGAAGAGGCATTACAAGCTCCGTGCAGCGCACAACTATCATGCATAGTACAGTAGACCCCACAAAATCTCCAAACCCTGCGCAATTCTGCCCCCGAGACCACTAGAATAATTAAGGCTCCCTTGAGGGCAACTTTATGAAACGAGTCAAACGGTCGATGATATAAATCCTGCATTACCTTAAGGACCCTAAACTATGGGAATTATGGTATATTCTTTATTATGGGTAATGCAGGATTTATATCATCAACCGAAGAAGGCCGGTCTTCTCGGCACTGGAGCTTCATCCGACCCCTTCGTCACCGACGATGCCGAGGGCCCAACTAGGCGACATTTTCTTTGCCGGGGAGTTCAGGGTTTGGGGATTTAGGGTTTAGGGTTTAGGGTTCGGTTCGGAGTTTCGTAGGCGCTGGCCGGCACCTCAGTCCGTGCTGAAAAAAGGGTTCGGTTCGGGGATTTAGGGTTTTAGGCTTTAGGGCTTACTTCTTCAGGAGCTATGGCTTAGCACCGGGTGGAAAAGGGCTTTTGCCTTCAGGGCAGGCCTAAAGCTCTTTTTTGAGTCATTTGAGACTGAGAGTTGAGCACCAAACTTCGCAGCTGTAGCGGCAACAAGTATCATGTCAGTCATCATGAACCTTAAACCCTAAACCCAGTAGGCTAATTTTAACGCTACGCCGCCCGCCTCGGCTGTGTAGCGGCAGGGCGAGGGGGCAGTCGATGTTTTTTAATGCTAGGGCGGCCTGTCCAACCCCACCCTTAGACGGTTGAGAACTGGTGCGGGTGTCCCCAATCATTTGGGATGCAGGGAGGAGGATTAGGTGGAGGGTACCTGAGGTAATCCCCAAGACGCCTGGGCCTCTGGCCTCGGCGGACTTCCTCCCGAACCACGCAGTGATCTGTACCTGAGACTTCCTGGCACCCTAGCATTCACATCCTGCATCATCTCTGCCTAGGATCTCACGTAAGAAGCAGTCGACAGAGCACAGTTACTTTATTTGTTGGTAGTATAGTTGTTGCTTTTCATCGTGACTCCTTCCTTAGACTCGTTTCACTTTGGCAGACCTCGAACCATAATATGCCTCGCCTGGACTGTCCGAGTGTGAGCGCCGAAACCCACTAAGCTCAACGCCATTGAATGCTTCTGCAGGCCAGGTGCATGTTGTTGGACAAGTCTACGTGACAGCGACAGTTGTGACGTGGGTGTCAGATGTACGTTAAGGAAGGCACTCAGAACCAGCTGCCAAAGGATTTCGGGTTTGTGATGCTGGGGTTTCAAAGCCCGTTCAGGTGTGACCTGCCCTGGACATTGAGGGCCAGCGAGGAGGTCACAATACTGACGGAGACCCGGCACCGAAATGAAAGTTTCAGAATGAAAGGGAGACGTCCTGCTACTTGGGCGGCTGCTCTCAGTCGTATCTTCGGGGCACACTCAGGAACTCTCTTTACGACCATGCCTATGATGTGACCTCACGATACCCCGCAAAAGGGGGCGATACGGCTGCGTGCATGATCGATTTGAGAGAATGCTGCCCTTGGTAGCACCCGGAATGACAGAGTCGATGTGCAGAAAAAGCACCAAGAACAGTGCTATAAATTGGGTCGAGCCGAGAGATTCTACAGCATCATATATCTTGGGTTCATCAGTCCATCTTCCGTAAGGGTAGGAAGAACCACACAGGCCTTTTGCATGAGATCTCCGTGTCTAGGAGCGTGTGTCATACTATGAATTCAAGTTGCGCTTGCAAGGATGTGTTTAGCGAGTGGGTCTCGTTGGACCACAACGGCAACCTCTACTACTCGGACCAAGATCGTAAGTCCGTGAACAAGCTCGAGGCAGGGGCTTTCTCTTGCTCTTGGCTTTGGGGTATTATGCTTCTGCCGGCTGTGGCCTGAAAGTCCAGAAAATGTGACCTGCTGAGTTGCAGGGTCTTTGAGTGTAGGCTGGTGTTCATTGCAGAAATACAATTCAGCTCGTCGCTGGATCATTCTCCCTTTCCAGAAAGTTGGGTGGCTTCGGATTGCAGTGCCAAGGACACGTCCAAACTTGAGTATTTGAACATTATCCGCGGCACAGAGAAAAGTGTCGTGTCGCAAATTCCTGAGGACGCCATGGGACGTGACACTAGTACTTCCACCGGAATCCCGTGATCGAACAGTGAATCCCCGTCTGAGATTTGAAGCTAGTCTTGCACTTGTACCCGTTCGTGCAGTCGTGCAGATGGCAAACACATGCAACACAACATGAGGAAATCAGCAGTGTCGTAGTGCGTCTTCCAGGTGCTATGCGTCGTGTATGCGTGCACACATATAGTTATGAGCAACTCTAGTTCTGACAACAACTCTCACGAAACCTCGCCTGAGCCTCTCTCGAGTGCGCGTGTCAAAATGTTTCTGTACGTAATCTGTACGTATGTATGTATGAATGCGTGTATGTATGTATGTATGTATGTATGTATGTATGGCCGTTGAAGTGCCATGCCACACACCTGGATGGACGGATGGATGGATGTATGGATGTGTGTGTGTATATATGTTTACTACTAGATGCAAAACCCAATCTATCTCATATCATAAACACACACATGCCCCGCAGGCTAGCCTTCTGCTCAACCTGGTCCACGGTGAGGCCGAGCCTCCTGTTGAAGCGCTGGTCTTGGTAGTTTGACATGTATGTTGTTCAGATTCAGTTCTTGGTCGCTTATTACCGTGCTTGTTGATGTTGTTGTCGAGGCTGGTGCTGGTGTTGTTGGTTTACCGGCTGTTGTTGGTCTTTGTTGTCCCTGTCTTGATGGCTGCTGCTTCCTCGTGTTGTTGGTGTTAGCCCTCTAACCCAACTAGTGAACCCTCAGGAAACAAGTTGTGCGGCAAGTTCAACAGTTCTAGACTGGACTGTACCATACTATACGATAGTAGCCTATACTATATACTGCACTTTCAAAAGTTCCGGCCCCCGAACTTCATGGATCCATGCCAAAGCCCGTAATCAGACCACAGTCTGAGAGTCTAACCCTCAGTCTGTACCAGAAAACACCTGCCGACACAGGTGGCCCCTAGCGATGTCTCACGCCGCTCCGCAAGCCGTGCTGCTTCGGAGAAGCTTGTTGAGGACGCATTGGGATGAGGGTGGGTAACATGCTAGGTTCGACTTCAATGTGAAGGAATGAACCCGACCGTCCTGTCCGGGAGACTTCACTGAAAATTCAGCTAGCAGTAGGAAAATTGCATGCCAGCGGCATGCGTGATTGTGTTACGACACTGGAGCGCGCGCCCGAAACCAATCCCGAAGAGCTTTGAAGTTGTTGAGCACGCAAAGATTCAGCAATGCATGACATTGAAGTCTAACGCAGACTGTGATGCAGACAGAGTGCATTTAGTGAGCAGTAGTGTAGGAAACATGTGCCCGGGATGGAGTCGTGTCAAGGTCCGCCTTGCACAAGACTTTGCCCAGGACTATGCCAGTCCCCCATTAAATCTCAAACAGATCATCTTCTCATTGTCCAAACATGGGGCTTGAAAGCTCCAGGTCTCGTCTAGCTCTAGTTCCGCCAACTGCTTTCATTCCGTCCAGGAGGGGAAGGAGGCCATGCAGATAGTCGACAAAGCTCACGATCCATTGGTGGCCTGCCGGTCACGCCACAAGAGTAGGCCAATTCAGACTGCCAAGACCCCGGGTTGGTTGTGTATTGCCTGTCACTGCAAGCTGCTTCTTGTCGCACTGTCAAGTTTGCTGATAAGAAAAAATGTTGATGCGGGCAAAACGAACAGTAGTATCATTATTCGTCATACTAGTAATAGCAGTCGTCGAGCATGTCGGAAAAGATTATGAAACGCATCATCTTTAGCATTCGTATTTGACGACTATTGACGGTTCTCATTGCGGTTATGATCGTCGTGATGATGGTGCTTGCTTATTGTTATAGTCTTCTTGTTGTTGTTGTTGCCATTGCCATTTTCTGTATTTTTATCATGCTTCTTGTTACTATCAAAGCTATTTTAGCCGCTACTAGTATTATGATGATAAAGATCATTGCCTGTAGCACTCTTCGACCGTGTTCCATACTGACAAGAAACGACAGTGATCATGCTTGATAAGCATTTCTCTTGGCTTCCATGGCTTTTTCTCTCGGATGGCTTTACAGTCAATATCACCGTCTGAGGGCTTCAGATCATAGTTTCCCAGCGAACTAGGGCGACCCAGACCTGAGACTTTGTTTCCCGGGTTTGGCTGTCTAGTTTTCAGGTGGCTGCGGGATCTTTGAAGCTCAACAGCCACCTCGAACCGAGGCATTTGCTGCAGACCCCATGGGAAGTGCCGGGGACGGCCTCAAGGCCTGCGTGGGCAAGGATCCTGGGGTCTTAGGCGGCAGAAGTGAGACGAATTGCTGCGACCATTGCACTTCCGGGCCACCATGATCTGCGCTTTCTGTGGTTTCTGATCGCTGCCGGCACCGTACCACCGTGATTCTTGCTATTACTGTGGTGATCCACTCTGTCGTTCCGATCATGGCTGGTATACTTCTGATATCTGATAGTGACAGTCCCCTGCTCTCGTGCTTCTCATATCGATGTCATCATACAGCACGGTATGATGTAGCTTGTCGCCAGCCAAACTCATCCGCGTGTTGAGCCGAAGCGGACAGTTGGCTAGCACTGCCTTCAGAATTTGAATGGTTGCTAAAGGGTTCAGAATGCCCCTACCATAATAGACAGACTGCGAAGCCTGAACTCTGAAGATATGGATTCTATTCCTAAAGGGTTCGTGACTGATTCTGCTAGGTCATAGTATGGCTTCAAATCCTATTCCATTTTTATGGCCCCTACGTTTATGCATTTTTCAGCAGCCCAAGGCAGGTGCAGAGCTGATGGGCAACATGGCGAAATCCGCAGCGGCATCCAGGCAGCAACACCAGAAGCACCAGCAGCCACTAAAAACGTCATCGCGTTTCACAGAGCTTCTCACAGAAGTATATATATATATATACATATATATATATATATACATATATATATATATATATGTACAACGAAACCCGGGAACTACGCCACATATCAAGGCACTGGCACCGGACTTGCCTCTCACTGCCGTCGGGGACACTTCCGTCATGGAGCTATTCCAGGCCTCCAGTGCAAAGTGTAATTCTGTATGTTAGATGGGGGTTTCCCAAAATTAGGGGTACCTTCTTTAGGGGTCCTTATTATAGTAAGGATCCTACTATTTGGGTACTATATTAGGGTCCCCTATTTTCGGAAACTCCCAGATGTGTGGGACATCTGAGCAAATACAGCCTATGGTGGACTGCCTCCGAGCAGAAGTGAGGAGCATGCATCGGAACCTATAGATGCGATGCATGCCTCCGTGTAGAAAGTTTCAGAGACAAGCATGGCCTCGTTTGAAATCTACGCACAGATATACTCACAATTCCGAGGGCGAGGTTGTTCGCGGTCTGCCGCTTGTTTTGAATTCCTTTAGATCGTTCCGCTTGACCTGAGTGTGCCACGACCCTTTCGTCCGTGTTGCGCACGAAGCTCTCCCAGATGATAACCCTTAAAGCACCCCTCACAATGCCCTCACAGCACCCTCTATCTACCTATCTATTTCTATCTGTCTCTATCTATCCCTATCTATCTACGGTTTCTATCTATCTCTACAACTTGTCCTGCATCTCGGCTCCAGTGACTTAGTGGAAAAGAAAGGAGGTCCCCGGGTCGTAGGAGAGTGGCTCAGAGCCATGGGTCTGCTCGGCATGGAGTCCAGCCAGGGCTCTCTGGAAGCAAGATGCTGTAGGGTTAGTTTTAGGGTTCAGGGTTTCGGATATTTGCGTAGTCCAGGTGTAAAAGGGTTTCGGATAAGGGTTCCTATAAGGGGCACTAGGGTTCGGATGGTGATTCTCATAAAGGGTACTATACGATGCAGTAGGGTTAGGTTTAGGGTTTAGGGCTCCTATAAGGGGCACCATAAGATGCAGTAGGGTTCCTACAAGGGGTACTATGAGGGATATCATATAGATGCAGTAGGCTTAGGGTTTTAGGGTTCAGGGTTCCTATGAGCTTGAGTCCAGTGGAAAAAAGGGTTCCTATAAGGGGTACTATGGGATAAGGGTTCTGATGAGGGGTACTATTTGATGCAGTAGGGCTAGGGTTTAGGGTTTAGGGTTCGGATAATTTCTATAAGGGGCACTATAAGATGCAGTAGGGTTCCTACAAGGGGTACCATGAGGGCTATTAGTAGGGTTTAGGATTTAGGGTTCGGATGAGGATTCTTATAACGGGTACTATAGGATGCAGTAGGGTTAGGTTTAGGGTTCCTATAATAACGGGTACTACGATGCAGTGGGGTTCCTACAAGGGTACTATGAGAGGGCTATCATATAGATGCAGTAGGGTTGAGGGTTTAGGGTTCGGAGAAGGGTTCTTGTAAGGGGTACTATAAGGTGCAGTAGGGTTTGGGTTTAGGGTTTAGGGTTCAGATAAGCGTTCCTGTAAGGGGTACTATAAGATGCAGTAGGGTTCCTACAAGGTCCCGTGCTGGCTGCTTAGTAGTACGCAGGCTTAGCTGTTTTCAGCTGAGGCTTCTTTATGAAGTTCATGGTTGTCCTGTTCTTCATCATGACGCCGCTTTGGCCGCATGTGATGCGCCAGTCGCAGGTCCACTTGCCTTTCAAGCCGAGGTTTGGGCAGATTGGTCAGCTCGCCTACTGCTGGCTCATGACGGGGGGTCTACTCTGGGCCTTCCTGTCAACTTTCGGCTTCGAGCAAGATGACATCATTGCAATCCTGGCTGCGTTGGCCGGGCTACGCGCTGTGCCCTTCTTGTACAAGCGACTCCTGACCCTGGTGGCCACTTATCCCCTGTCCCTCACCTTCAAGTTCGCCTCCCAGATTTTGCCCAAGTACACCATCGAGGAGGCGGAGTTCTTCACCTGCGATGGTGCCTCGCCCGAGGTGGCAGAGCGAAGGAAGAACTCCATCAAGGAGCTCAGTGAGAAGTGGAAGAAGAAGTACCCCAAGTGCCAAGAGTTCTCCGTGGAGCTGAAGAAGATGATCTCAGACCTGCGCTTCACCTCTGCTAGGCGGCGCAGCGAACAAAGCTGACTCTCCTGGTGTGAACAATGCGTAGTATGTAAGTGAGGGCAGGACTGAGGAAGAGTGGGTGGTAAAGACATCTTTTCAGATCCCCCGTGCCTTGATCCCTGTGCAGGTGCTTCCCGGCCTTCAACGGCGTGGTCCAGAAATACCTGGATCCTTCCATGGCCCTGGATCGCACCGAGGGCGTCGACGTGGTCGACCTCGAGTTTGGTCATAGTCTTCAGCATGCCCTCTCCTGTTCAAAATGCTTTAGCTTATCATCTTTTTGAGTTCTGAGCTTTGCAGATTGACAAACAAAAATCACGTCCACTGGTCGCGAGTTTCCGAAAACTAAGTCCTAAATCCTGCAGACCCCTCAATCCCTCAGCCCTGAGGCCACGATGTAGCCTTACCGGGAGTGGCGAGGTAGTAAAGTAGCAATCAAAGTGCCAAATACCGCTGTACTACAGTATAGAAGCCCGAAGATTTGCCAATAAATCCCTAGGAGGGTTCCCTATTCTTGTTATTACTTTTATAGTTATACGATAACATAACCACAAGCCCCATTCCAATCATTAAGGCCCCTGTGTTATTTGTTGGTTTCTCTCAAGTTGCCCTGTAGAGCGGTATTCATCATGGCTGAGTAAACCCGAAACCATAAATCTATTCTAGGATCAAAGCAGTGCCATGGATATCTCCGGATCCTATGGTGTCAATGTCTGCGGCTATGAGAAGTATTCATCATGGCTGAATAAACCCGAAACCCTAAATCTATTCCTAGGATCAAAACAGTTCCATGGATATCTCCGGATCCTATGGTGTCAATGTCTGCGGCTATGAGAAGTACAAAGACTTCATCGAGGAAGGATGGTCCAGTGCGAAGAAGCAGGGCCGCTCGCCGAGCTGTTTCAGTCATGTTGCTTATGTAAGGCTCCATATAGCAGTGTTTCATTTGTCTTGCCAGTGCCGTGAAGCTTAGTTACATACGAGACACAGCCCTAAACTCTAAATCCTGCCGCTTGCCAGTGCGAGCACCGAAACCCTTCATGAGGGACACAGCGGGATCTCCATTCAGTCATGGATTTGTGTATGGGGATGAATGGGATGATCTTATGATGGTTGGGTATTTGTTGGGGCAGTTCGCCTTGAAGCTCCCCTTGTGCGAGTGCGAGTGTCGAAACGATAGTAAGTTGCGCAGTTGCTGAGTTTTTGTAGTCTCACCCAACAGACATCGAACCATATGCCTCGCCTGGATTGTCCGAGCGCGAGCGCCGAAACCGTAAGTTGCAAAGGCCTCTTCCTGGGCTCGCTGGACAATGTCGTTCTGGACAACATCGCACGTTTGCGCAAGGTCTCTGGCCAGGATGAGGTGTCCTTCCACATGTCTGGCACGGAGGCCGGCAATCATGGACAGAAGGACATGCACACTTATTTGCTGGCTTGTTTACTTAATCCACTAATTAATTGAAGCTGATACTACTGCATAAATGAGTTAATGAGTCAATGCATTTTTTGGATAAGCAATTGGGGCACTTTTTTCTCAATGAGTTGTTTCAGTAGAAAATTGGGTTCGAGGTCGGAGAGGCATGCATAGCTAAGGAGCCGTGCTTCAGAAAGGGGACCAGGTCATAAGTTAAGTTGCTCAAGACTTGGTTGGCGAGTCAAACAGTTACTCATAGTGGGTTGGCTAGTCAGTTAGTCATTTCGCCAGCTACCTGGCTAGCTAGCTAGCTGGATGTATTTGTTGATTACTCAATGGTTCACCTAGTCCAGTGATACAGCTAGTTACTGAAACAGTCAGCTGAACGCTTAGTGAATGATGTCATTCAGAAGTTTCGCCGTGTATGATCTTGCGTATGTATGTACGTACGTATGTATGTGTGTCTGTCAGTATGTATGTGTTTACGTATGTACGTATGCACACAGAGACATGCAGGAAGCACTACCCCCCATCCGTCCATCCGTCCGTCCAACCAGACAGGCACAAGAAAATGCTTCGGTACTCCATCCATGCATGATGTATGCTGATACATTACATACTTACACAGCTACCTAGCCGGTCAGACACAGAGACAAAGAAAAGAAAGGAAAGATAGAGACGTGGACACACAGAGGCAGACACGCAGGCAGGCAGCAGACAGACAGATATGTGGGATCCAAGGATATCTCATACCCAGTACTTACTTCGAGGGTATAAAGCTATTTGCTTACTCAGCCGGCTTCAGCACATGGACGACTTTCCAGTAGTCAGGTTCCGAGCACTCGCCCGGGTTGCCAGGCGGTGTAGGGTTAAGAGACTTGGGCGCGGCGCTCAATGTGGGATACTCAGTCGCTGAGGAAGCATCCCTGTTTATCTTGGAAATTGGTCATTACAGTAAACCCCAAAATGGTGGAAACCGGATTGAGGCCAAATAGTGCTGGGATTCCCGCTACATCACTCTTAAGGAATGAGGCTATTGGGTTTCCAACTTTTGGGCTTCAACTGTAGGCGGGGCCGCGGAGCGGCCGAAGGCCTCGTTTGGCAGTTTCTTTCGACTTACAGTAGAAGCCAGAAAGTTGGAATATCATTATCGTAACCCCTTTAAGGTAATTTATCGGGGATCCTACCAGTAATCCATATTCCAACTTTCTGGAGTTCCCTTTAGTTGAGCAGGCAGTGATGTGCGCCGTGCGTGTGGCGCGCTTCAACACCAAGAATCCTGACCGCACTTGCTTTGTGAGTCGCTTCTGCAAATTCCTTAGGGGCCTCCATGTTCAGCCATATTGCATAAACTGGTCCGCATGAGACATGTTCGCGAATTGAAAGCAAGGAGTGCCTCCGCTTTGTGACGGCTTCCGAAGCCCTCAGCCAAAAGTCACACAGCACACCTCCTGCCTCCCTGGTCACATCAGGAAGCCACTGGTCGTAACCTTCGGCGGTGCTTACCATGGCTGGTGGGACGGAATGCAACCCGTGGCCGGCAATGAGCCTGAGCCAGTTTATGGGGAAGTTGGCATTTTCGTTTGGCCAGCTCTGGGATTTGGAAAAGGGATTTCTTAAAATTCAAGTTCAGGGCCCTTCTGGTGGGTTCTTTAGATTCTTTGCTGCCACTACTACTACTACTACTACTACTACTACTACTACTACTACTACTACTACTACTACTACTACTACTACTACTACGACTACGACGACTACTACTACTACTACGACGACGACGACTACTACTACTACTGCTACTGCTCTTGCTACTGCCAGTGCAACTGCTACTGCTATGCAGTTGCTACTGCTACTACACTACACCCACAGATACCAATTAGGAGCAGCAAGACCACCGCCACCACCGCACCACAATTGGAACGCGACGGCCAAATGACAGTAACTGTCAGGTGCTCTCGCCACCAAGCGCGTCCCTTTCAAAGCTAAAGCGACACGCGAGGAACATCACTTGCTTGGCCTACAGTTGAACATGCAATAGCATGAAGGGTTTGGGCCATGTTCCCGACACGCGAGACTCTCCACCAGGTGGAGAGCTCCACCAACTAGACAGGGTTTGCTTACAAGCACCACGCGCAAGACTCAGGAGCGGTTGCCACAGGACGTGCTTTGCTTGAAGGATATGAACAACCTGTCCTTGCAGGCTTGGACTTTGCAGCATAACTACAGCCACGCAGAGCCTTGTGAGGATTTGAAAGGATATAATTATAGTGGCAATGACTACTGCACTAGAAGGACCAGTCGATGCGGTGACCTTGGCTCCACCGTCACCCGCGCGATCTAACATGTGTCAGCATGCGGCAGGTGATTCAACTTCGTAGCAGCGAGATCGCCGCGGTCCTGGTGAATCCCCTTCAATGCTTCCATCTCAACCAGTCTCCACCTGGCGATGCTGTCTCTTGGCTGCGCTGTACACGAAGAGCCTTTGCTTTTGGATGTTCGTTGTCGTTCGGGACAGTAACGCTTACGTGAGATATGTGTATGTATATATATATATATATATACACATACATATTATATTCTATTATATTATATTATACTATATTATATTATATCATATTATATTATATTATATTATATCATCTCATATTATGTTATATTATATCATATTATATTATAATACATTATATTATGTTATATCATATTATATCATATTATATTATATTATATTATATCATATTATATCATATTTTATTTTATTTTATAATATTATATTATATTATATTATATTATATTATATTATATCATATTATGTTATTTTATACTATATTATATCATATTATATTATATTTTATATAATATTATATTATATAATATTATATTATATTATATTATATTATGTTATGTTTTTGTATATTCTATTATATTATATTATATTATATTATATTATATTATATACATAATGCCTACACACATTGCGCTAGCAAGGGCATTGTTGTTTGATGCTTTGTGCCGAGGTCTTGTCCACCAACAACCGCAAAGTGGGTCCTACGCCAGGCCTTTCCCGACTTTTTTGTTCCTGAATGATGTTCGCTGCATGTACGGTTGCACAAGCAGCAATTATGCAAGTCTATATGTCTTCTTGTCTGCGCTTAACATCTACATATATATATATACGTGTATATATATATATATATATATACATACATACACACATGTACATATGTACATACATAGTCATGCAGCTATGCACCCACGATAATTTATTGACAGCTTTATCGAAGGCATCATTACAGACAATTGTCTCCTGATAAATGTCGGCATATCAGAGTCTCGAGGCTGAGCCTTAGACTCCAAGTTGATCCGTGACGATGTTTTGCAGAGTTCGGTCGTTGTCATAACCAATAGTAAAAAAAAGGTACCCTTATTAAGGGGCTACTCAGGAACCCTAGATTCTTAAGGCACCCAAAAAAAATTCAGCCCTTCGTTTCTGGATGAAATTTTGTGATCAGGTATACGGCCCAAGCATAAACCTGAGAGGCCCCGTCCCAGTCGCACGCCTCAGAAAGAGCCCATGCAGGATACAAAGAGTGGCTCCACAAGTTGAAGGAGACCTGCACCAAAGCAGGCGTTTGCCTTATCTTCGATGAGGCCCTGTCGCCGTTGCAATTTCTGAGTTGCAAGCGTACGCCCTAACCCACAAACCCTTCAGGCTTACACCCTAAGCCCTATGCCCCGGAACCTCTAAACCCAAAAAACCTCACCGTCAGCTAGCACGCACCCGTACGAAAGACCTCGTTTGGCTTGTCCGAGAGCGTGGAAGAAATAAAGCTAAAACCCTTCAGGTTTACACGGGCTTTCGTCTTCATCCTCGTGGAGCACAGGGGGCCTATGACGTGAAGGACGGAAAAGACAGATTTCCACCTCCCAAGAGTTTAGGATTTAGGGTTAGGCTTTATTGTTTTGGGTTTGGCGTGTAGATTATTCTAATGACTAATGCTGCTATTCCTTCTGCCATTGCACCAGCTTGATACGGCCACGATTCTGCATGGGATTGTTATGAAAGTTGTTACCATGCTTTCTGTTTGGTGTGCTTGGAAGAGTGTTCGATTTCCAGCTCAGTTCGTTGGTACATGAGAGTAGCAAGGAAGCGAAGAGAGTCCAGAATTCAGTTTTGTGTTATTCTACTGTATTTGGTTCTTTTTCTTTTGTTTGACAAAGCTTCATGTTGTAATTTAGTACACCAGAACATCTTGTTCGAACGTTCGTGTGCCTGGGAGCTTGCACCCGTCGCGCCATCTGCCACGCTTCCAAATAGATGGCTGTCGGTGCTTGGATATGTATGTATGTACGTATACATGTATGCGTATATCCAAATACAACACAATATCACATGTATTCATATGTGTATTTCAGTGTGTGTGTATACATGTATGTATATATATATATGTGTGTATACCACATTTCTGAACATGTGTTTATAAGGGTTCGAGTTGCGTAGAACCGAAATCTTGAACCCTCGTGGGCTCTGAGCGTTCGCGCGGGCCTTAAGACATTCTTGGTAATTAGCGGAGTTCCTTGCTCGCGTGCTCGCGTGGTCCCTTGGGGTGAACGCGATCTGCTGTCATTTGCTACGACGCGCTCGTTCCTTGCTTTGCACGGCCGTGGTTGTCGTGATGCCTTTGGTTGCTCTTGTTCTCGGTATGCCGAGGATGTGTTGAGCCTTACGTTCCAGGTCTTTAGCCCAGGCTACTGTACATCACTGTGGCCGATGCCACACCGGAGCATGGAGAACAGCACGGAACGGAAAGCAGCAGCTACGATATCACTAGGCGTATTTAAAGCACGTGGCGGAGTTCGGTTTTGAGACAGGATTTGACTTCGCCATGCTTTCGTGCTTGATATCCAAGCCCTTTGTGCGTCATGGTAGATGGGCATGAGTTTCTGAGTCTTATGAATGAGCTCCCGCTTTACTTTCTTTGCTTTTGTTCGGTCCGAGGCCGTCGGAATTGAGAGAGTTCGAGAGTCAAAGCAATCCTGGAGTGAAACCTCCGGCTTTTCCAAAGCCGTAGTGCCAAGCGGCAGGCTGACATCGTTTGCTACGGGAAGCCGCTTGTCCGCCCTGGCTGGGACCAGTTTCAGGTCCGGCAACAGCAGCAGCAGCAACAGCAGCAACAGCAGCAGCGGCAGAAGTACATACAGCACCAGCGCTGCGTAAGAATCTGCTCGAGGTTAGGTCAGGGGTGTTGCAGTGTCGTAGACTTGTAGGTTTTTGAACCATGCAGGCTTCAGGGAGGCTCAGATTCGTAGCACCTTTTTTGCCAGGATATGAAGCAGATTGAGTTGGTGTCGTCAGGAAAAACGTCTGATCGGTCCCTGCAAGGTTCATACGTGCCCACTGTAAAGAAGAGAACGTAACACAACGGTAGTACTGCTACCCATGGGCCCCATAGTAGTTCCTTTTTGGGGTTCATATATAGAACCCTATAAGGTAATCTCAGAAAGGAACTACTATGGGGCCCAAGGGTAACCAGTAACCGAAGGCACTGATCCTCGTTGCCGCAAACTTGTAGTTTCCCCTGGCACCGCACAAGCGCGATAGCTTACTCATAGGAATACTGTAGCTTCCAGGGCGTTACTGTTCTCAGCAGCAAGATCCTGAATGATCGGCACCTATGTCCTTGATTTAGCTTGTTTCATTCTGAAACTGTCAGATATGGGAGTTTCCGAACCTAGGGGACCCGAATATAGTACCCTAAATAGAACCACATGCCTCGCTTGGATTGTCCGAGTGCGAGCACCGAAATAGTAGGATCCTGAGGAAAAGGACCCAAAAAACAGGGTACCCCGATTGTCGGAAACTCTGTTGTGGTTCCCCTCAAGTCGTGGAGCCTGGAGTGCCTAGGACCCTGGGTGGCGGGCTTCCTATTGGCGTGGTGTGCGGTCCCAAGGAGCTCATGGCCCGTGGAGACGCGAAGAAGGCGGGTTCAGGGAAGATTGTTGGAACGTTTAAAGCGCGACGTGGAATAAGCTGCGTCCCCAGTTGGAAAGTCTAAAGGCTAACAGTCAGGCTGCAGATGTTGTTGAATCTTGCCGGCATAACAGCTTTTAAGGGTTGGGTTTGAGGGTGACGTCTAATCCCAGAGTTGCAGTTATTACTCTCCTTCCTGATCCGACCATGTGGCTTAGCATTCTGACGTGGATCCCCGTCCACCGAACGCGAATGGCTTTTCAACAGGATCGTAGTTGAAAGATCGTCCTTCACCTGGAAGCATGAGCTTGTTGTAAGTAAGTGTTCATTCAGGTATAGAAAACAAACCGACTTCATGGGTCTTCGGCGTAGCAGGGAGACAAGTACATGGCCACTGACATCCGATCGCTCTTGTTGATGTGGTATGACTTGGGCACGGCCCCCACTCAGCAATAGTTGAATAATTTTCATAGTATAGATATATTAGGACCTTAATAGTAGCCCTATTATAAACTCTTACTGTATGGGGGCAGTACTCAAGGTATGACCATCAGGGACTGCAAGGGGCCCAAGACTGCCCAGGCAGCACGGATCAACTACGTCATCGGAACTTTCGCAGGCCACCCCTTCGTGATGGCCTGCATGAATGCCTTCCTGAAGTGGCTGGAGGAGCCGGCTACCGTGAAGTTCCTGGGCTCACCTTGCCAACACTTCATGGATATTGCCATTTGGGAGTTTCCGAAAATTAGGGGTGCCATATTTCGGGGTCCCTATGATCAGGATCCTAATTAGGATACTGTATCACGGTCCCCTATTTTCGGAAACCCACATTTTGCTTCGGTTCTGGGTCGGGTTCGTGGAATTGTGGGTGCGGGGATGAACCTTCTGGGCCGAGGCTGGCGGAGACTACAGGTACCGTAGTAGTTGAAGACAAGCAAACCGCTGAGGTCCTATGACGAGATGCATGCCAACATCGATGCTTTCATCAAGGCCGCAGAAGTGCAAGAGTCGTGCGTACATTGGAGTTGTGCGACGCAGTTCCTGCACCGAAGCTCAAGGCAAGTCAAAGAACCGAGCAGTAGGACATGTTGAAATGTCGAGCAGGCTGCGAACAAAAAGTTCGAGGAGAAGGGATACCCGGTCCAGCTCACCAACTGGTTTTCTGCACTTAGGCGGATTTTCATCTGTGTGTGTGTGTTGATGCATTTTGTGGCTTTAGTCAGTTTCGGTAGAGGATGCGCGGAGTGGGGATTCGAAAGCAAGTCAGTCGCACCGCAGCTTGGAAGTGTGCTTGCATGCTCGTTCCCGACATGATGTTCCTGTCGCCTTGTTGAGTTATTGGGTTCGGAGTGCCGACTGTGGCGATGCGGTTCGCGGGTCACGAGTGTGGTCACCACCATGGTAGCAGGCTAGCGTTCGACTAAGAACCCAAAGTGTTCCGCAGGCCTAATGTAGGAACCTGATTAAGAGACCTTGGGCCCAGTACATGAATCCCTACTATTTTTTGGGTTATAGGCCCCGGGTTTTCTTAATCAGGCTCCTACATTATCCTGTTCTTTCTGTTGAACCTCATGAGTCCAGGGACTTCCAGAGTCACCTTGTAACACCCCGCTTTATAACACGGTCCCTTTAGGGGCACTGCTATCATAGGGTTCCTTTTCAGGGAACGCTTAAGCCGTGACTGAGGTGTGGTCCATCCTTTACACGAAGCCGGGCCGCTACCACTGGATTTTCCAGTGCGCAGGGGGTTTCGGTCTTGTGATTTGTGTTGTGCTCTGGGGCTGGTCGTGACATGACCGTTTCGTGAATATGCGGGGTAAGTTGAGGGCTAAAGGATTCAGGGTTGTTCGTCCTGGCGGTGTCGCAGCAGGCCATTTGCAAAAAGGGGTTGAATTTCAGAACCCCTAGTTGCGAGAGCGTAAACCCTAAACCCTAAACGCAACACCCTGAACCTGAAGATTGAAAGCCTCAAAACCTAGGACCGAAGAAGCACGCGGAAAGAGCTCAGCATTGAGGATACCCAGAGGCTCCATAGTAGTTCCTTTTAGGGATTACCTTATAGGATTCTTCATATGAACCCCAAAAGGGAGCCTTAGGCTACTCATGGTTGGACCAGAGACTACTCTGTGCCCCCTTTTTTGGGGTAGGCTGGATTGAACAAGACTTAACCCGAGAAGGCCTCACTCAAGCAAGCAGCCCATCAGCTGCATCCCTCTGTGTTGGATTTCTACTGAGATTCTACCGTGCAAAATTTTAGCAGAATACGATATGATACATCAAGTAGCAACTCCTGTAGTCCGCAGGCGAAAGTAGTCGTCCGCTGCCTGCAGGTACTTCCTCAAGGATGCAGGGGTTAACCTGAGCTGGGTGGGCACCGGTCGTCTACTCTTCTCCCTTGAGTGGAAGAAGGCCGGTCCTCGGGTTTAGGGTTTAGGGTTCTCAGACATAGCCTTCAATCTGGCCACTACTTCACGAATATAGACTGTTACAGGGTGTGGGCGATACCCATGATTCAGGGTTCAGGCAGGAAATTCATTGTCAGAACAATCCAGATTCCAAAAAAACCGAATGACCCATTGGGATGAGGATGCAGAGTGAGGTCAATGGGGCACGTAAGTGCCTCAGTGCCTGTTTTTGAGGTCGTGGAACGTTTAGACCTCTGCTCACTGCTTGAAGGGCGGTGGATCTCGACGGGGCTTTCAGGACTGCTGAATGGATGGCCTGTTTGACTTCGGCTCTCTGTCGGGGTTTGCGAGCCCGGACGGAAAGACTCCTGAATCTGCTTACAGTCGTATAGTAGTATAGTAGTATAGTAGTATAGATGTATAGTATAGCATTATAGTATTATCCTTCAATGCCAGCTGCCGAATCCGGAAGCTTCTGAGGCCCTCCAAGCGAACCTCCCCCCAGCCCTGACCACCTCCCTTCACGCATCCAGGGTTTGGCTTTTACTACAAAGTAGAGTCTACTTATGTCAGTATATATCATCGGTTACTATTTCGATGAGTGCCGTCTCTGCGAGGCGGACTTCGACCGTTTGCTGGACCGGCTCTTGGCTGCTTGCGAGCTCATGCAGAAGGGCGGCTGGTGGGAGGAGCTTCAGCGCGGCCGTGATTCTCTCGAATGCATATCGTCCCACCAGGTTATTTGCGACACCATAAATATTATGACTAGCACCACCGCTATGGGGATGCATGCTGCTGCTGCTGCCGCCACTGCCCACTACCCACTATCATCACCATTATGATTGCAAAGAGGAGGAGGAGGCATCAACAGCAGAATCAACTAGAATAAGCTGCTGCTGCAGCTACGAGCCCCCTCGGGTGATGCTGCGTCCACCTACGACGACGACATAGTCGACTGCCACTGCAATCGCTGCTTGTTTTGTTGTTTCGGCGGCAAGAGCCAATGCTTCGTTGCCTGCAACCAGCCCTAAACCCTAAAACCCTAAACCCTAAAACCCTAAAGCCCTAAACCCTAAAGTCCCAAACGCGAGCGGGCATAGACTTCCAAGCAATGCGAGAGGGAACAAGAAGCCCCAAGCCCTAAACTGTCCGAGTGTGAGCGCCGAAAGCCCCAAACCCTAAAGCCCTAAACCCTAAAACCCTAAACCCTAAAACCCTGAAGCCCTAAATCCTAAAACCCTAAACCCTAAGCCGTGGGCACAGACGATTGTCCAGCCCAAGCAGGAGTCGAGCCCGAGTCTTCAAGACAGGGGCACAGAATTACCCTAAGGCTCCATAGTAGTTCCTTTGTGGGGTTTATATTTAAGATCTTATAAAGTAATCCCTAAAAAGAGTTAATCGTTTCCCCCTAATATTAAAGGGCCCCCCCCTAATATAATAAAAACTGGATTTCGGAGGTTTAGTTTTTAGATTAGGGGGGGTTTCGGTGCATCCACGTACGCGGACTCCTAGCTGCTAGCTATCCTAAGCCTGGAGCCCTGAGGCCCTACTAAAGCCCTAAGCCCTCAACCTCGAGCCCCAAAGCCTAAAGGCCTGAGCCCTAAACTTTAAGCCCTAAAGCCCTTAGCCCTAAAGCCCTTAGCCCTAAAGCTTTAGCCCTGAGCCCTAAACCCTTAAACCCTAAAGCTCTGGTGTCTTCAGTACTGCTGTAATCTTTGGCTCTATAAAGCCCTGAGCCCTAAACCCTTAAACCCTAAAGCTCTGGTGTCTTTAGTACTACGGTAGTTTTCCTTCAATTAAAACACATACAGATCTGCCACCCCCCCCCCCTAATGTTGTCCCTTTTAAATTGAATGTGGGGCCCGAAACCGCGAAATTCCGGTTCGGGTGAGGTGATTACTATGGAGCCTCTGGGTAGTCTGGTCAAAAGAGCCCGGAATCGCATTCAGCTGTGTATTCAGGTCAGCATTTGAACAAGAGCCCAAAACCCTAAGCCGCAATAACTTTCTACGTCGCTTTCTCGCAGGAGCCCAAGGCCAACATCAAGGCAAAGCTGGGCGTCGAGATCGGCACGGCAGTGTTCAAGAATGTCCTGGGACTGTCCGGTTGAGACCGAGCACTGCGAGTCTAGAGTAGTTCCAAGCAGGAAATTGCTGTCAATTCGCCTTTGGACCCATACAACATGTGGCACTTTGTCTGCCATCCGCGCATGTGCGCGCAGCTTTGACATATTTCTGCCGACTGAGGCTGTTTGTTGGACTGCCGAAGTTCCAGCACCCCGCTTGTAATTTTAGCTACCTATCCTATCTTGGGGGATCCTTATTATAATTATAGCATAATATACCCCAAAACCCTATTCTGTTCTACTTATTCCAGTGTTGATCAGAACATACAGCAGGCAGAGACTACCCTGCTCGGCACATGTAGGCTAAGCCTTTGCGAAGCGATGGCTCTGAAGCGTGCTCAGTGCGCGCTGCACGAGGCTACAGATCGTGAGCTGCGCTCGCTGCAGTCTTCAGCCTCGCTGTGAGTATGCGAAGAACTTGTGTCTATGAAAGCCAATCATCGGTTTTTACCCCTAAACCCTACACTATCCTAGGGCCATGTCACGGATGCCGGACCCAACACCAAGGTGCAGGACTAGCCTCCTACGCCCGACGAGCCCTGAACACCGAGCTTTCAACCCCACAGGGGCGCAAAGATCCCTAAGCCTTAAGCCCCCTAAGCCCTAAACCCTGGGCCCCTTAAGCCTTAAACCCTAAGCCCTAAAACCGCCCTAAACCCTGAGCCCCTTAAACCCTAAGCCCTGAAACCTGAACCCATTTTGCCTGGATGCGGCTGAGCCCTGAGCTGATTTTCCATTCTTCTGCCGCGTGCTGGAAGAGAGCGCAGAACCGTGGCTCGAAAAAAACAGAGGCGACTCCTTGGAAGGTCGTTCCTTTGTGGTCAAAAAAGGGATTATAAAGTTTAGCGCGCTTAGGACGGTTTGGTATTCAAGCTTGACGGTTCCGGGTTCAGGCGCAGAGGGCTTCCGGGTGTAGGATAGTCGCTTCATTCGCTCTGCCATGAGGTTTTTCGCTCGCTATTCGTCTGGTCGCATTGCAGGTTGTCTGCCTTGCCAGTGATGTCGATGATGCCCAAACATTTGTCCGATTGTCGATCTGGCTTCACCGTATCTTTTCAGAGGAAAGGTTGAAGGGACCCGATTAACTTGCTACTTCTTAAAACCCCTCTCCGGCAACAGGCCCCTACTGCACCAACTGAGGGTGCCGGTTGTAGTGATCCTTGGCGCCTGCTTCCGTGAGCCCCGAGTTGTGAATCATATCACGAGCTCCACAAGCCAAAGCTTCGAAGACTAACCCGAGCCCCTCGCAAAACCGCTGAGGGATTGGAGGTAAAGGTTTCCCCCAGAAGCACCCCAAGCCCTAAACCCGAAAAGTGACCCGAGAGGCCTCCGAGAGCCCACATGTGGCCACTCCTGGTGGCGTGGTGTCTGACACTGTGCAGGCTGTGTTGATGCTATACTTGAGATTCGAATGCCGAAGGCCCCTTTAAGAGAGAAACCCTCAAGTTCATTCAGATCCTTACATAGATGTGGTCACGTCATTGGGGCAGGATTTCCAGCTTCACAGTCGTGCCCGAGCTGAAATTGCCCTCGGCCTGAGGGCGGAATCGGCTAGTGGATCTACATTGCTAGAAAACTGGTACTTGAAGGCTCATGGGACTTAGTAAGTAAGGTTATAAGTAGCATATAATTAGGATAACCCCACTTAGGGGACTTATAAACGCCATTATAACCTACTTACTAAGTCCCATGATCCTCTAAGTAGGCTTCTCCTGACCTTTATACTTTGACAGTGGTAGCCGGTAGCTGGTGGACTTGCTCCGTCCAGACAGCTTTTGATTTTGTGGCAGGTGTATTGGTCCAACGAGAACAACGGTTTCGAAAAGGGTGCTGTGGCCACAGGCGCCGGGGCGGAGCTGGGCTGTAGGACGAACTTGGAATCTGCGGGCAATATGCTGCTGGCATGCGATGCGACTGGTGATCATGTTTAATAGTGGTGGTGGTGGTAGTGGTGGTGGTGGTGGTCGCCGCAGTAAGTAGTGTGCTTTTGCTGGTAACTGAATTATCGCCTAGTGAACAACTCCATAAGGCCGTCGACAGTCATTAAATGCTCTTCAAAGTGCTGACATTGAGGACGATGATGAGTGACGGTGATGGGTTCGTTGTTTGCAGGTCACGTTCTTTCCAGTCGCGCTTTCGCCTGTCATTGGGTGGACGACTGCAAAATTTGTTTCTGCTGTGCTACCGTGATGATGACGAGGTCGGATAGTTCAGATAATGTTGTGTAGTGCACGTGTGCACGGAGTGACATGTACGAGCGGCAACAGCAGACAACCGCAGCTGTTGCCCGCTCGAGATTCTTTCAAGCTTTTCAGGATAGCCGCTCGCTCGCGCCGCAATGTCCTCGAGTCCCCCGACTACAAGTGCGGCCGCGGCTGATGGTGCCGCTGCACCAGCCACAACAGTGGAGCAGTTCCGCAACGCTATGGCGGTCTTTGAGACCTTTCCTCTCCTGGACGACGACGACTTGCGTGTTCTGCTCCGGAGCTTGGGTTCGGTGCAGCTCCGCCGAGTGCTCGGCATCGGGCACAATGTGCTCATGGGCACTGATGCCCACTACGCGGCCAGGATCTCGGCTCGCGACCGCACGCTCGAGTTGGCCCAGCAGCAAATGCTGATGCAGGGGACTACGCCTTCGCCGATGCCCGGACCGCTGCTCAAGAGCATGGGTAAGGCCCAGAGCCCTCCGCTCAAGGCCATGCCCGCCAAGCCGTCGAGCAACAGCCCGCCACCGAGCTCTTCGACGTCACCACCGAAGCAGCCGACGGGGACGGAGCAGCCGAAGACGAAGGCCTCCAGCGGAACCAAGGGCGTCCCGGCTATGACAACGCCCAAGAAGGCGACTACCCAGGACCCGCCCGCCTCGCCGGCCAAAGCAAAGGCTGCCTCCGCAGCTCCGATCGCGACGCCGGCCAAGGCTGTGGTCCAGCAGAAGCGCCCGCCGCAACGACCCAGCGAATACGACAGCACCTTGGCGGCAGTCTTCACCCAGCCGTACGTGGACACAGTGCCACAAGACTTGGAACTTATGGCACCACCACCTTCGGCCTCGCCTTCGCCCGCTCCGCCTTTGCCGCCGCCCAGCTCACCACCGCCGGAAGTTTTCTTCGATGAGCTGGCGCCCGACCTTGAGGACTTCCTGCAGGCTACGGCGGCTGCCTCGCAGCCAGTATCCACCTCTGACGTCGAGGACGCCACGCCCGAGGACCCGGTGGAGCAGGACGACGACGGAGGCCAGGACGACGGGGACGACCAGGATGATGACGATGACCAGCCCAGGGTCATCTCACGCAGGCTGCTGTGCGTGTCGCCCGCTCAGCCCGACCCGCCCTCCACGGCAGGAGCCGCGACAGCAACAGGGGCCAACGCCACAGCGGAGGACACCGACGAGGACGATGGGGCGCCCGGACCGAGTCAGCCGACTCCGGTGCCCGACCCGCCGGTGGCGAAGGCGTCCTTTCCTTCGCCCGCCGAGGTGTCCCGAGACCAGGCTCGCATCGCTCGCCGCCGCGATCGTGAAGAGCGGCTGCGCGCTTGGGAAGGGTGGCCTGAGCCATGCGACTTGCTGACGGGCGAGACCAACGTCGTTTGGAACTTGCCGCCGGGCGTCCCAGCACAGCCTCCACCCGGCAAATACGCCGACCACCGCGTGGAGGGCTACTGTAACCTGGGCTGCGAGACGCGCAAGGCCGACCGCACGCCAGTTTGTCAGGGCCGGTGCTTTCGTCCCATCATCCGAACGCGATCTGGGACCGCACACGGCAATCATTTTTGCGGTCCATGCGAGCGCGCTCGCTCCGCAGGAAGGCGCTGAAGAGCGGGCCTTCTGATTCTTCCATGGCGACCGGCGGTCACACAGCAATCACCGCCTCGCCTCGCAACCCCCTGCGCCGCCCGCGCCGCAAAAAGAAGGGGTCCGAGCTTCTGCGATGAGCCCGCTCCCCCCGCCCGAACCACAGGAGTGAGTGAGTGCTGCTCCTCCCCTCTTGCATTAGGTCTTTCCTTTCTCTGACTCTCTTCTCTTCCGAAGCCAGCTGACAGGAGTGCCTCCTCTCTTGCATTAGGTCTCCGCTCGCGTTGACTCTCTCCCTCGAGTGCTTGCAAGGGACGTTGTTTGCGAGGGCATGCGCAGTCTGCACTTTCATGTCGTGACTCGTGTTCGGTTCGCTTCGCTCGCAGTGACAGTCTTGAGTGCTTGCCCTTTCCCCCACCCGACGCCCCGCAGCTCAAACCTGTCAGGTCACATCACTTCATGCACGAGAAGCTGGACGCCCGCACTGCGCAGCCGTTCTCTTCAAGGCTCAGGTTGTTTTGCTCTTACGCTGTGCACGCGCGCGCACGCCACGCCATGTCGGCTTTCGACTACCACTCGTTCGTGGACTTCATGCAAGCAGCGGTTTCGGCCGGATTGTCGCCGCAAACCATCGACAAGATGAGCGAGCTGGGGTTCGAAAGCATACATGATGCGGCACTCCGCGCGAAGCACGTCGACCATCGACTCGCCGGTGAGATCGAGGTCATGTTGGTCATGTCGGGGTACAAAGACCACATGGAAGCCAGCCAAGGGATCGCCCCGCCCCGCGGACCCGCACCGCGCTTCGACCAGCCTGCTCCGAGAACCTCGGCTGGTGGCATGTTGAACAAGGCCTTGGCAGCCGCCGACCCGCTCAACTCGGAGGACGCCTTGCGAGACTTTCGGGACAATGTGTACGCCCGCTCCGCGCGGGCCCCGAATGACGCTCGCTGGGTCACATGGTGCAAAATTTGCGCGGCCTGGGGAATCAGCCCCGTGCCTCTGACCGCCGACACCATCGAGAAGGTCGGCACGAGTTTTCGCAGCGGGGGATACCGCAGCTCCGCTCAGTATTTCTCTCGGGCCCGCAAGGAGCACATACAGGTCACGGGCCAAGCTGTCCCCCCGCCCGTGGAACTGGCGATACGCGACGCCATCAGGTCCATTGAGCGAGGCATGGGCACCAATTCCCCCAAGGACGCCTTTCGCCTCGACTCCCTCGACATCTGCATTGACCTGCTCGAGGAAAGGCTCCGCTTTCACCATGCCATGGTGGTCCTGGGATCTCGGTTTCTTTGCCGCGAGATCGAGCTCTCCGCGCTCCGGGTCAAGCACATGACTCTCGACTCCGAAAGAAAGCAAGTATGCCTCACCCTGTCCGCGAGCAAGAACGACACCGTGGGGTCAGTGGTGCAGCGACGACACTCGTGCTACTGCGGCACCATCCCGGAGACGATCTGCCCCTATCACGCGGCGCTCCGCATCGCCGACCAGTGCTCTTCCGACTCCGAGGATTTTATTTTCGCAGCCGACACTGGTGAGCCCATGACGAAGGCACAGACGATCGAGGCGATCCACGCAGTTCTCACCGCGGCCGACGTGCCACTGACCAGAGCCGGAGCTCCCCTCGAGCCCGAGGTGAACAGGTTCGGGGGACATTGTCTTCGAGTCTCGGGCGCCCAACACCTGTGTCGCATGAGGATACCGGTGAGCACGATCATGTTGCTCGGGAGATGGGGGAGTCGCGCGATCGAGCGCTACGTCCAGGACACCGAACTCGAGGACGCCCTCTACGGCATCGCGGCCGCCGGCCTTCCGACCTTGCCGCCTGGGCCTGCAGCCCTCAAGGACAAGGCGCACGACTCCCCTCCCTGGACCCTCGTGCACAACCTGGAGGAGTCTGAGCCAGCGCCTCCGCCTCGACCGACGAAGAAAGCTCGCTCAACAAGGACAGACGCAGAGGACAAAGAGGCCGTGGCAGCAATGATCGGATCGCTTGACGACATAGCCGCACGCCTCGAGTCGATCCAGGACAGGCCAGACCTGGTTTGCAAGCGCAAGGCACACATGAGGGACCCCGAGGAGTCCTCACGACCGCCAGCGAAATGGCGCGCTCGCTGCGGCTGGCCGTACGGGTACTCCAACTTCACCCGGGCACATGACGATGGTTCTCAGAACCTGTGCCTCAAGTGCTTCCCCGAGGCAGGGGCAGAGAGTCGCAAGAAGGCGGCCGGACAGCAGCAGTCCGACACGGAGTCCACTGACAGCTATGACTCCTCTTCTAGCTGAGCGATCTAACCCGCAGCCTCGCTGCGCCTCGCCCGAGAAAAGAGACCGAGAGCCTTGAAAGAGACGTGACAAGGCATCGACTACAGTTTCGCACCGCCCCGCTGCAGTTTTTCCTTTTAAGCATAGCCCCATCTCTCGCGCACAGGTTGTCATGGATACCGGCCTGCGAGCACTTCTCCTGGACGCTGGCGCGTCAGACGACCTGATCGCCTACGTTGCGACCAAAGGCATCCTCTCCACCGCGATCTTCGCCGAGATGGGCGAGGACGTGAAGGAGTTCGATCAAGCTATGGTACAGCCGCTCGCCTCGCCATTCAAGCTCCAGGACGGCAAGGTGTTTGAAGTGAGTGACGCCGAGCTGCCAGTGGCTCGCGCAAGGCTACGCCACGCCTGGCGAAAGGCTCGCGAGAAGTCAGCACCGAACGCCGCGAGCAGCTCCCCGGCCACGACCGCGGCCGCAGCCACCTCGACTTCCAAGACAAAGGAGCTGCCGCCAGGGTACTGGCAGCAACAGATACACAAGTATGAAGCCGTGCTCATACATGGAGTTCCTCGCAAGTTCCCCGAGATGACTCTCTTAGGAGCCGAGGCCGTGATCGCGAAGCTCCTCAACGACGCCAAGAACCTCGCTCACAACGCGATCCCCTTGGAAGAGATCGTGCAGCACAGGCACTTCACTGCGGCGCTCCTCCCCAACACCCTAAGCTCAGCTCGCAAACGGGCCCGGTCACAGGAGCAGGTCACCACTTTGGTCGTGAACGCCGACCTTCAGCTCGAGACCGAACCCGAGACGCCTTGGAAGCCGAAGAGCCAGGTAGCCATTCTCGACTGCCTCGAGGCCATTCGCGTCGCCCTGATCTTCATCGAGTACGCCCCGGAGAGCGACATCGACGAGTATTTTTCATGGTGGCAGCGGCTGGTGCGCAGCCGCCCCAACAAGATCGACCAGCTCAAGATTCACTGGGAGAATACATCGTGGCGCATCGCTCTCGCGCTGCGCAAGAAGCAGCCTTTCAGGGACATCGCGCACGAGATCATGGCCGACAGCCAGCTTCTCCAAGAGGCCATGAGCACAGAAGTTCAGCCAGATCGCCCCGCACGTGCCCCAAGGAACACCGAGACCCCTTGGCATGACATCCCTCGTGGAGGCAGAGGTCGAGGCAAGGGTCGAAACGGCAAAGGCCAGCAGCGTTGGTGGGAGCGCCCGGAGGGCAAAGGGAATGGCAAGGGTGGCGGAAAGCATCGCTACCAACCTCAATACGATCGCCAGTGGAACCACTACCAAGGCCGCGGTCGCCAACATGATGAAGATCGCCCACACTGGCAAGGTCACGGCAAAGGTCGCCAACAAGACGACGACAGATCGCAATGGCGCCAGACGGATTGGCGACAGCAGCACGACGGCCGCAAGCAATGGCAGCAGCAGGAATAGGGACAGCACGGGCCATCCCACAGGGGTGGACCCGACCCACCGCAAACTTAAGCGAAGACAGTCAAGTTTTCGCTCGCTCGAGGTCGCCATTGCCCCGCTCCCGAAGATCTCCCGACGACGACAAACAAAAGCCACCCCAGTCAGTGACGCTCCGCAGCAAGGCCGAGACCATCCGCATCAAGAACGGCGATCGCTCGCCCGACATCGTCATGCTCAGCTTCTTCGACGGCCTCGGCACCGCTTGTTTGATCTGCGACGAGTACTGCAGCAGCAATGGTCTCCAGTGGCGTGGTGCATCTTGGGAGATCGACCCCAACCTGAAGAAGCTGTTACACGACCACTTCCCTGACGTGGTGCAACGTGGCGACTTCGACCAAGAGACGCCCGAGTCTTTGCACGACTTGGTTCAGGAGCTGGACCCCGCAGGACGAGCGACTGTGGTCATAGCGGGAGGCCCTCCGTGTCATGACTTTTCACGCATTCGCTCAGATGCGCCTGGTCACCAAGGTACGGAGGGATCCAAGTTCGCTCGATTCGCCCAGCTCGTGGTGGATTTGGAAAAGAGATGGCAAAGACCCCGCGCCGTCATCATGGTGGAGAACGTCATCCCACAGAATAGAGCAGATATGCGCAAGATCGAGAAGTCCCTCGACTCGCCAGCCGTGGTCCATGACGCCGCAGACTTCGGCACCATATCCCGACCAAGAGTCTGGTGGTGCAGGGTGCCATGGCAGGAAATCGCCCATCGACCCGATTGTCCTCTTCGCATTCGTTGGACAACTATGCAGGGCATCCCACGCGTGCACTTCGACCTCGTCAAGGACGACCCGCACGCTTTCAAGACCGAAGGACTTTCTTTGCCGAGGTGCCTGGTCGAGGAGGGCAAGCCGCTCCCGTGTCTCACAACACCTTCCGACGACCCACAAGGACGCCCCGCTCCACGCAGCTGTAAGGGCAAGATCAGCAGTGAAGCAAATCAACGATGGCGTGCCGATCGACAACGATTCGCTCCTTGGCATTACGAAGCAGGCGTAATGATGGCGGACAGTCAAGGCCGCTTCGTGATTCCTCCACCATCGGTGAAGGAGCAATGGCATCACTTGCCACAAGGTTGGACCAGCAAGCTCTCCGAGCACGAGCGCCACAAAGCGCTAGCCAATGGCTGGCACGCCGGAGCCGCGCGCCTGATCTTCATCATGGCCATGTTTGCCGCGACGCCCGCAAAGGCTGACAAGGAGCTCAACCCGCTAGGAGGAACCGCGCTCGACATAGCAGCTGGTTTGTGGCAAAGTCGCCCGCCACTCCTAGGCCCGGGACCTGGCGACTACGACTCATTCGACCTCTCCTACCTGCAGGACCCCGCGGAGCACTGGAGCTTGTCACGACACATGCCCCATCCGGATCACCGCGACGCACTCATGGAGCCCGGTTTGCAACAGTGGATCCGCATTTGGTTCCGGATGCGTGCCCACTTGGCAGAACTACGCCTCGCAGTCGTGGAACAGGTCGAAGAGATGGTTGTGGACATGGAAGACGAGACCAGGTCTTGGTACCAGAGCCTCCGCCCGCACGTACAGAAAGCCTACAGGAGCACCACAGGAGTGTGCACCTTGCAGCTGCCCGCGCTCCGCAGAATCTGTGAACTTTTTGGATGGCAGGACCTCGGCATCTTCGACGAGCTCACACATGGTTTTCGACTTCTAGGACCCCTTGCTCCAGGACTTGGTTGGAAACGACGCAACGACGACCGCTACGCCAACCCTCTGGACCTCGCGGAGTTCATGGTCAAGAACAAGCAGTACGTCGTCGACAAGCTTCGTCGATGCCGCGTCGACCCCTGCTGGAAGCAGATGGCAGACGAGATAGCAGCCGATGTGTCACTCGGGCGCATGGAAGGCCCGTTCACCAGCCCTTCGGACTGGCCCAAAAGTGCAGTGCCGCTCGCATCGCACGAGCACACAAGCAAGCTACTTGAGGGCCCAGGCGAACACCAGCCGACGTGCTTCGCGTTCGCAGTCCACCAGGTCGGGTCCGATGGCCGCCCCAAAGTACGTCGCGCCGAAGACTGGAGACGTTCTTTCGCTAACGCAACGGTCGCAGCAGAGGACTCCCCGCCGTACCACGACGTCAACTCCTACGTGCAGCTGGTCCGTGCCATCAAGGAGATCGACCCGCAGGCCGAGATCCTCATATGGGGCCTTGATCACGAGTCGGCCTACAGACAGCTCCCAGCGCTCGACCCGTCACACACCTACGTGGTTCTCGCGACGCCCGAAGGAGTCACTCTTTGGCGCCATACAGTTCTAATGTTTGGGTCAGTGGCGAGTGTGTGGTCCTATTGCAGAATTGCGGACCTCATGGGTTGGTTATGCCGCGCATGCATTTTCACGCCCGCGCTACACTTCGTCGATGATTTCGGCAGCGCAGAGGTCACCATGCTCGCCAACTCGTCCTTCGACGCTTCGCGTCGACTTTGCAAAGCATTGGGTTTTTCTTTTAAGCAGTCTAAGGAGCAACCGCCGGCCCCGCGACAGGTCATCCAAGGAGTCGACATTCTTGTGTCCCACGAGTCAGTCACAGTGCAGGGCACAGATGAGCGGAGACAGAGGCTCGACGAGGCGCTCGCGGACGTGCTCACTCAGGACCGCTTGCGACCCCACGAAGCAGCCAGCCTCGCGGGGAAACTGCAGTTTTACTGTCAGTCACTTCAAGGTCGCTCGCACGCTGCAGCTCTTCGGCCCCTGTTTCGCAGAGCTCGACTCACAGGCGCTGGTCGTCATCATCGCGATTGGAGACTCGATGGACCGCTTCGCCACGGGATCGGACTACTACGCTGGAGCCTGCGGCACGCAACGCCCAAGGTCTTTCCTTTCGACAAAGAGGCGCACTCGGTCCTCTACGCCGACGCGTTCTTCAACCTCTTCGACAAGGACTGGAAGCCCTCCGATGAGGACATTCCCAACTGGGGACGAACACCCCCGGAGACACTCCGCAACGGATGGGGCTTCGTGGTGACCGTGCAAGGTAAGACCCACTTCGCTCACGGCAGCGTACCGTACTGGTTCGTGCGAGCATTCACGAGTCGCCGTGCATACATATACATGCTCGAGATCGTGGCTCAGATCTTGCCTCTGTTCGCCATGGAGGACCAGCTCGACCGACACGTCATGCTCTTCGTGGACAACGAACCCGCACGCCACGCTCTCACTCGAGGCTTTGGCAAGGACGAGTCGATCAACTGCTTGCTACAACATGCATGGCGCTTCTTGGAGGCAAAATCCTTTCGCCCAGCATGGCAACGTGTCACGTCGGCAGCCAACGTCAGCGACTCCGTTAGCCGCGGTGACCTTCGCCACGCTCGAGCCGAAGGTTGGATCGAACTGGAACGAGATTGGGACAGTCTTTTCGAAGAGCTTCTGACGGGCTCTGAGAGGTTTAGGGCTACCGGTGTGCTGTAATGGTGCAGGCGGCACACCTATGGTGATACGCAACGATTCGCTCCGATCGATGTCTGAGATGTTTCGATCTGGAATGCGATTTCGTTTGCACTTCGCCGCCTGCCGCTACGCTTCCAAAAGTGTTTCAGTCTTGCGTGATAGCGAGATGTCGTGTAGTGCACGTGTGCACGGAGTGACATGTACGAGCGGCAACAGCAGACAACCGCAGCTGTTGCCCGCTCGAGATTCTTTCAAGCTTTTCAGCCCGCCCGCACCACCCTGTATTTATTCTTACATATTGGAGTGGTGGGGTGATACGCAACGATTCGCTCCGATCGATGTCTGAGATGTTTCGATCTGGAATGCGATTTCGTTTGCACTTCGCCGCCTGCCGCTACGCTTCCAAAAGTGTTTCAGTCTTGCGTGATAGCGAGATGTCAAGTTGCTGGACGGGCAGTGCCTTCTAAAGTGTGATTGCACCAGTCTCAGACACCCGAGCGAATCATGCCGACAGACTTGAGGCTGATGATATAGAATTCTGCACGCGCTATCACTATCGGAGAGTCTCTATTGTTTCGTTGGGCACGTGTTCGTCGCGTGTGCCGAATGAGCAGGGAGTAATATGCCTAGCTCAACTGATGACTCCATTCAGAGTTTTGCTTTTTCCGCTGATTCGTACGTCGGGTATGTGTTTCTCGGCTTGCGCACTTGAGAACCGCTGGACTTCTCTCGCAGCTTCTGGGCTGTAGCTGGGGTCGGCTCTAGGATTCTGAGATACTTTAGGTCTTCCATCTACATTATGAAGAGGCAGGCTGCTTTAGATCGAAAGCAAAGTGGGAGTTCCACCCGACCAGGCGTCCTCGGGTTTTTTTAAATCACAGGCATCCCTTGACCCTTAATGTGCACAGCTACCCCACCAAAACGGTAAACTCCGGAGCCACGCAGAGGCACTAGCATGGCCACTGCCGACTTTTATCCCGTTGGATGCTACGATGGCTGCCCTAAAGATTTGAAGCTTTATGTCCTGCGCAACCCTTCCACTCGTGCCTAAATCACAAACCCCTAAATCGCCTGGAGTGAATCCCCTGGCGGGGTTGTTAATGTGTATCGTTGAACCTTTTTCTGCAGACCTTGCCAGGCTGGTCCGAGAGTGAGTGTCACAAAATCGCCTGGATTGTGCGAGTTTGAGCGCCGAAAACCTCAACCCTACCAACACATCTTGGAGTTTCCGAAAATTAGCGGTACCTTATTTAGGGGTCCTTATACTAAGGATCCTACTAATTAGGTACCATACTATGTCTTTTGGACAAAAGCAGAGGAAGAAGCCGACGCCGTCTCAGTGGAAGCGGCTCCCAGAGACACCAATATCTCTTAATTAAGGAATATTCCTTATGTCATATCAAGGGTCATACTACAATTTAAGGTATATTTCTTAATTCCCTGATAGAACCCCTTGTAGATCACCAATATCTCTTAATTAAGGAATATTCCTTAAGTCATATCAAGGGTCATACTACAATTTAAGGTATATTTCTTAATTCCCTGATAGAACCCCTTGTAGATCCCTTTCAGGAACCCTAAGGTATATTCCTTATTAAGGGATCTGGGCTTTCAGGCTTCGCTGACCCCGAGTCGAGCCCGGCGGGCGCAGCGCGCTCGAGCTTCTGGGCTTGGCCATTTGGGAGTTTTCGAAAATTAGGGAGTACCTTATTTTGGGGTCCTGTCAATAAGGATCCTTCTATTTAGGGTGCTATATTGGGGTCCTCCATTTTCGGAAGCTCCCGTGTTGCCCAAGTTTAGATTAGTCGCAAGAACAGCAGCAGCCCTGAACCTTTCACCCCGTTGATGTGGTGGTTGGAAGGCCTAGCACAACTGGGAGGACAGGAGTGATGAGCAAAAGCGTGACGAGTGAGCAGTGTGATCTGGGCAGCTATTTCTGACGTGAGTTGGCATTCAGCTAGCCCAGTTCAGTCTCAGCAGAAGCCTTGCACTCTACGCCAAGCTACCTCCTGGGCGCCACAAGCCTTTGAGCAAGGTAAGCTCACCAGCTCAACAGAGCGCTCGTATGGCATTGCCGCTCGGTCAGCTTTGGTCCATGTTGAGGCATCACAGAGCGTTGTGGAACTGCCAGGACCGAAAAGCCATGCACACATAAAGCATTGAAACCTACCGTACCATTCAGGGACGGGATAAACTAGTTCTTACTTCCGCAAATTTACAACCGATGCATTGGAGACAGATGTATCATCCTACATCGGCAGACAGCCAGCGCAAAGATGCCTGAAGTCAACAGCCTGACAACGCTGCTTGTAGAGATCCTGGCGCCGCGTCGTTTGCCGTGCTGATCGGTCGTTGCGAGCTTGTAGCGCCCGAGTACCTCCTAGTCATATGCTCTCCCAAAATAGCCACCCCTCCAAATTCAAATTACTTGTGTAAAGGCCTTCCGCTAAAGCGTCTGAGGCGGCGACGACGAGTGCCATCATCTTCAGCGATGGTGGAGGGGCAACTTGTCTCAGTTCCAACTCAGTTTCCGACCCAGGTTCCAACCCCAGGTTCCAACCCAGGTTCCAACCCAGGTTCCAACCCAGGTTCCAACCCAGGTTGAACCCAGGTTGGAACCCAGGTTGAACCTGACGTTCAACCCAGGTGCAAACCTGGGTTCCGAACCCAGGTTCGAACCTGGGTTTGAACAACGTGGTCGAGTGCAAGAAATTCTGCCGACCCCTTTTCCTTTATCTGATTATCTGAGTTTCAAGGAATATTAGCTAACATCACACTATGAAGCTTCCCGTCGGCTTGTAAGGAGGAATATTCCTTAGCCAGTTTATATCCCACGACCCCGAAAACCTAAGCCCAAAGATCGCCTTGAACCCAAGCCATCGGAACCCCAGGTCTACGGAGTCTCCAAGTACGGCGGCGGCAACGCCACGGCCCTGAACGACGGCTTCGTCCTGGCCAGGGGCCTGGCCTTCGATGGCTCCGGCACGGTCTTTGTGGCGGATGAGGCGCAGATGATCGTGAAACTAGCATCCTGAAACATGATAATTAAGCCCTAAAGTCCTACAGTTTAGGGGTGGGGCCTGAACATCCTTAAGCCAAACCCTAGAACTACCTAGCCCAAATGGAAGCTACCACTAGGAAAGACCGATTCAAGGGGCTACCTGGCGGCGCGTAAAGGCTGCTAATTGGGATTCCGAGTGCGAAACTTTAGGATATGGATAGAGGGGTAATAGTGACTAATCATATCCTTGAGGAATGGGGCCCATATCAGTATATATGCTTTACCCCAAGGCTCTTTTCGAACTATGGTAGTTGAAGATGCCCGGCCGCCAGCCAGCAGAAAGGACCTCCAAGTGCAGGTGTTTGCAAATGAGGGGCTATACTTGAGACCTCTATAAAGGTGAAGCGATACTATCACATGAAGGTTTAGGGTGGAGGGACTTCTGGCTGTCGCACTGTCGAGCTTGAGACCTGTTGTCTGTGTCTTGGGGCTCCAGGGAGGAAGACAGAGCTTCAGGGTCATGTGGAGCGCGAAAGGCTTCAGTCGCAACACCTAGGCTCGTTGAGGCTTGTGGCTGAATTGAACTGAAAGTCTCATTACAAGCGCTATAGCTCACAGAGATTTTTGCTGAAGCCAGGGCGCCAGCACTGTCTTTGCGATGCCCTGCAGTATCCTGACAGAGGGCTTCTCGTCTGCAGCCCCCTTTGCAACTTTTTGGCGTTGAGATCGGCCCCAACCTGCTCAAGCACAAAGTTCATGGTTGTATTATTCATTGCGACATGATTTGAAAAAGTCTCTGTGGTGGAAGAAGACTTGAAAGCTGCAAGCCTCCCTTTGCGGGCGGGCTGTGAGGCCCGTCCTGAGTATGTACCACACGCTAAGTGCTCAGGGCAACCATTACATCCTGTTCTTTCCATGCACGGCGTCTTTGGCCTTGCGCTGATCCAGCCTTCTGCCACTTGGACAGACCTATGCATTGTCGTCGCTTTGTTTCAACTGCATCTCATCTTGGCGAAAGGACCTGGAACCTTGCGTGCTGGGGATTTTATTTTCCTGGTTTGAGCGTCAAGGCTGACTATAGTAGAGGCCTTTATAAGTGCCTACACTATTTTGGGGGGATCATGAATAGATTTATAGTATAAATTTCTCTAAAGCCCTATTCTAAATTCAGGCCCCGACACAACCGGAGTTCCGGGCCTTCCTGGGTGGGCTCAGGGCTGCAGATCTTTTTCGGAGGTGTTCTCCCTGCACTGCCTGGCTTCAGATGTCCAGGAATAGATTTTGCTCGTGAATCTTGAACCATCTAGCCACATCAAGCCAAACCGTTAATGTAGGGGCCTAAATCTTACCAATACTATTTGGGTGGTTCCTTTTACTAATTATACAATTATAGTATATTATGACCCCCAAACCCTATTCTAATTATTGAGGCCCCTACGTTATGCAAATGTTCGAAGCTCGCGACCCCGAGGCTCAACATGTCAAAAAACGGAAAGTCTTTGTGATTCGAGAGCTTTGAAGCCCCTGAACCTGAAGCTCGACAAGCAAAACGGCCCTCCTCGACCCAACTCATCCTGGAGCTTCGTTTCCTTTCAGGAGCTGAACCTTTACTACTCGTACAGTACCCTTAACAGGAACTCTGAGAAAAGATCGACAGATCGGGGCACAGTGTTCTAGTGCTGGGACCAAGCAACTTTAGGATTGGGGCGTGCTTTTTGGGGTTTATTGAAGGGTGCAGGGGTTCTAACCGTGGCTCAAACTTTCGTATTGTCCGACCCAAACCGTGTTGTAGGGTTGTGCTTCGTGGCACTTGCAGGCTGTATGCAAAAGGGTCATTAAGGTTAGTGTAGGGGTCTCAACAGTTAGTAGTACAATCCCATAGAGCCCTGAAAACATCCACAGTGTAAAACTCTGTTCCTGGTTAACTGGTTCTTAAGGCCCCTGCATTGCCAGACCATCCCAAGGACCCGATGGTTGCGGCTGTAACCGGTGCCCATAGTGGTGCTGCCGCTCGGGGGTTCGCTGGGTGCCTGCGGTGGCACATGGAGACGACATGATTCTTGAGGTTGGGGTTCCTCATGCGGCTCAGGTTTGCCACAGGGTTCCTTATCGGGTAGGGTTTCTTATCGGGCTGCTTCGCATCATTCTTGTGGCTTCACATCGTGCGGAATTCCGCAAATCTACACTGCGAGGATAGGTGTGGCCATGAACGCCAAAAGTGTGATGTAGGGGTGAAGCACAACCCTAAACTCGAACCCAACAGGGAATATTCGAGCACTGGGAGACTGAGGTTTAGGGCAAATGGACCGCCTTCCCCTACGGGAATTTCGGAAGCAGCCACAGACGGAAAAAGGCTTTCGACAAGAACCTAAAACCAAGCTGAGATACTGTAGCAATCTGTAGCATAGAACTCGTTGCCTTGGCCTCCCAAGGCTTGCCGCTTTGGCAGCCTGGACGCTGCTGGGCTGAGCTGCCTGATCTTCCGTGCACACTGTGGCCTACAGATTTGACCTGCAAGGTTCGAAAAAAGAGAAGCCTGGGATGTAGAGGACCCTAACAGCCCTCAACCCCCCTCAACCCCCCCAAACCCCCCTTTAATCCCCCTAAATCCTCGAGCCCTGGAGCCGCACCAAAAATTCTTGAGCCTCCAAAACCTTTTGCTGCTGGTTGCTGATGTCTCAGGGGCTTGGTGATCTTCAGGTCATGCAGCCTTTCGTGTTGGGTTTGGGGTTTAGGGCGGTGGTAAAGGCCCGATGCAAAAAAGGGTTTGGGGTTAGGGTTGTGCTTAACCTAATCGGCAGGTTCTTACCAAGCCGGATTAATGTCAAACCCCTGGAACTGGCTAATGGCGGCGTCGTTTGAAGATCGAGATCGTTTCAGGGCAACAGTGGCTCGTCCCTGACATCGGCATATTCATCACCTCGTCTGTCAAAGTGCTTGAACATCCTACAGTATCAAGCCATTCACAGTTCAGCCTCGAATAATTCAATAACCCACAGCCCTTGTGCCCAGAAGCAATGTCCAAGACATATCTAAACATAGAAGCCTGACTAGTTACCTATAGTTTTCCGGAGGTTTCTCTTTGATACATATATATATATATATACATATAAATATTATAGACTACTCCCAAAACCTGCATTCCAAGTATCATGCCACCTGTTAAGCCCAAGCCCGCTTTTCACGGGAGGTTGCCGCCGTGTCCGCGACCAAGACAGTCCCCGGGGTCTCAGCTTTCGAAATTACATGCACGATGACGCAGGCTTCAGGCGTTTCCTCCCTAAACGGGTTTCTGCTTAGCATCTTCGTAAGGAGTACAGAGTCACACCTATATAGACCCTCATCTACCCTCGTCGAGAGAGTCTGCAGAACATGACATTTGTCAGTTCTGCACGGCTCCTCCTTGACTTGGATTCAAGACCACGGCAGCAAACTAGCATTTGCCACACCCATAGCCTCCATGCTTCCATCCCTTTCTGTGTGGAGGAACAGGCATAATGGGGGAACCCAACGTTGGGCGATTCCTGAAGTTTGAGCCAGGCCAACCGTTTCTCTGAGCAGTTGGGCTTTCGCCGACTTGGGAGTGCAAAGCTCGCTGCGAGCTCAAGATGGGTTTCGGGCTTTAGGATTCAGGCATGATTTTTCAACGCTGCTCACTAGGCCTTCGGGACTTAAATGGTCAAGTGTGTTAGAGTTTGCCAACAGCAGCTGCCTAAGGTTTTGAGATTGGGTTGTTGAGTCCTGGTCTCATTTGGGTGTGGCTTGTTGAGGAATTTCTGTTTGGCATGACGATTGTTGTGACCGTTCTCGTGTGGTTTTGCAGCTTTCGTAGGTCAATGCTTCAGAATTGGAGGACCGCAGATACCGTCTGAAACAAGTTTGTCGGGAGCTAGACTTCGTGGTCCAGAAGGTCCGAGAACCAACCGCATCTAACCGCTAACCCTCGGGGTGCTATGTCCGGAGATCACTCCTTGCTGACACGAATTCGGCTGCCGGCGAATCGAAGACACAGGTCTGCAAGCGGATGCTGAGTAGCTAACCTTGAACCCTTTGCGGTTTGTACGATTCTACCATAACTCAAAAGGTTAACTTTTTTGGGCTAGGGTACTCAGTCCTTAAGGATGGTTTGACAAGGAAGAGTCCTGCTTGAGATGGGCGATGTAGTAATTAATAAAGGGGCTTAGAAAATTATGGTACCCCCCCCCAAAGATCTATGTATTTAAGCTGTTTTCAGTTCTTTCCACTCATTACCATCTCCTCATGACCGTCCTTCCACTCACGATCGACTCCTCATGATTGCTCGCACCCCCCTTCCCTCCACTCGCGTATCTCAGATCAACTCCTCATGACCGCAAAGACCGACCATATTGAAACCCAATGTGGCCCAATATTTCAATATGGCCCCCTGCCACATTGAGTTTCAATATGGCGGATCCAAGATCCAAGATCCAAGATTCCCCAGGGCTCTTGGGGAGGAATCTTGGATCGGATCTTGGATCCGCTATATTGAAATTCAATATGGCTTCAATATTTCAATATGGCCGTCCCTGAATCCAAGATTCCTCCCAGGAGTCCCGTGCAATCTTGGATCTTGGATCTTGGATCCGCCATATTGAAATTCAATATGGCCTCAATATTTCAATATGGCCGTCCCTGAATCTAAGATTCCTCCCAGCAGACCCGCGCAATCTTGAAATTCAACGTGTTTCAATACTTCAATGTGGTCCTCTGCCTTTCTTGGTTTTGTTATCTCCACGGCTCTTGTGACAGTCTGCATGTGCACGTCTGCGGCAGTCTACATGTGCATATGCCTTTTTGCTTCAAAGTAATCAAATTGAAACCGGAAAATCGTGCACAAAAGGCCAAATATATGGAAGAAGATACCGTGCACTTTGTTTAAGTTTCTTTTCATTGAGTTGAATTTTTTGCCACGCTAGCCGCTGAGAAACGAGTGGCAGAGGTCTGTGAAGTTAGTTCTGGTTCTTGTATGTAGTTGACTGCAACAACGACAATGACAAAGCTGATTTTAAACACGCAGCACAGAACGAAGAACGAACGGAAGCTTTGTTTCACTTAAATCACGCTTCCACAGCGTTCCATTGAAATTAATTCACGGCGTCTCTTGGTTCGCTTCACACTATTACCTTCTCATTCTAGTGTGTGACATGAAGACAGGAGAGGTGACCGTGAGATTAAGAATGAAGTGAATGTAATGTGCGGTGGGTCGTTGTTCTTTGGCACGTTTATGCAAGTAAAGATAAAGCATGCGTACTTGGATTGAGCCAAACGAAGCAACAACCTAAGCACGCGCCTTACACCCACCCGCCGCTGCCTTCTGATGTTGTATCCTTTGCCTGTGTGCTCTTGTTGTTGTCGTTCTTCTTGCTTCGGTTTCTGCATAATAAAAGAACGACAGACAAAAGGGAATGGAATCAACATTCAGTTCTCCATCAAAGCAGGCATTCATTTCACTTCGCTTCTGTTCTTTCTACTAAGTAAAATGCATTCAAACTACTCACTTTATGTCTTGGTTTGTTCTTCTTCCGTTTGTGTTATTGGGTATTCCGTATTGGAATTTAATAAAGCACCTGAAGACACCCAAAAAAGCGAACGAAACAGTAACTAAGCCAAACGACGCAACTAAACGTAGTGAAATGAAGCATAAAACGACGCACATGTCTTTGCTGTTTTGTTCCTTTCACTGCATTAAATTGTGTTTTTGGGGCTTCGTTCGTCCTTCACGTCGCTGAATGTAGTGTAATGAATGGAGCGAACAAAGTGAACGGAATGAATCCAATTGAATGAAAGCGTACAGGAACGAGTTCGAAGGGAAAAGAACAAAAACAGAGAACACAGAAGCCTGCAAGTCTCTCATTTCATTCACTTCATTTGTCTGTTGGTTCCTTTTGTTTCTTACCTTTTTAGTTTCTTTGGCTTATAAACCTTGCATTCGGAAAGGTAGACAACTAGGAATTAAAGGTAACGGAAACAAGCAAAACAAGACAAACTTTAGCAGAATAAAAGCGTGTATCCCTTACCTTTAACTAATTGCAAACGGTCATGTTACTCCTTTTTCCCTGTCCTTTAATGCAGTAACTTGTCAATGGATTTTTCCGTTCATGTGGTGTGTACAGTTTAACTAAATTAAACACCCTTTTTATCTAACGCTTCAGTTGTTTTCTTTCAACTTTTCATAGACATCACATTGTGGTCTGTGTGAATGTAATGCAAGGATTCCGCTGCAGGACGTCAGGTTGTAAGTTGGCTGATCCCCCCCATAAAGCATCATGAGCATCGTTTGCTTCAATCATAAACCGCGCAGCCCAAGTTGCTGCACAGACAGCCCCCACGGATGCTGTCTGTTAAAGGCTAATGATTTGGCGGTGTAGGTTTCAAGATGGCTTTGGGGCTACCTGTTTCAGATTAGGTTTCAAGGAGGCGTTCGGGCTAACTGTTTTAGAAGCTTTCGGGCTGACAGGCTGACAGTTTTAGAATAGGTTTCACGGGGCTTTCGGGCTAACTGTTGCTTATTTTGTTTCGGGGAGGCTTTCTGGCGAACGTTTCAGGCGTCTATTTGTCGCGTGGAGGTTTACAAGGTTCTTTGGGTGTGTCAAGTCAGGGTGCTAGGTTCAAGGGCTTGTTGTTTCAGGTCAACCTCGGTTTACTGTTTAAGCCGTAAAAGCACAGTAAAGAGCAAAAAACATAGATCTTTGAGGGGGGGGTAGCAAAATTATATACCTATACTGTTTTGGGGATTCCTTATTATGGTTGTAATACTATTTTGGGTGGGTTCCTTACTAAAATTATAATGTAATATATATATATATATATATATATATATATATATATATGTATATATACATATATATATATATATATCCCAAAACCTTATTCTAATTATTAAGGCCTGTATGTTAATTTCTATGGCGATGCCGCTCCAGAGCTTGTTGATCTCGATAACAACTTATAGCATATATTAGGCCCATCTTCCAGCCGTGCTAGGCTCGAAGTCTGTCGCAGAACACTCAGGATTGCGACCAGCAGCTCCGCGGAGCCCTGCTCAGAACCAAGCCCGGCACTCTGGATTCTACATGCTAGATTCTGGGGCCGGGCAGCTGCAGATGAATGGGGCTCATGCAAAATAAGATAACCAATAACAAAAAATAGTAATAATAATAATAGTCATATTCATAAACAATAGTAGTCATAATAATAATAACGTATAAGAATATTAGTCAGAATAGGAGCAACAATAAGAACACTAGGTAAACAAACCAATAGTATTAATAGCCATAGCGTTGAGGGAACTCAGGCCCATGTGCTTGGTTCGTATACCGAGTGGCTCGGGCTGGGTGTACGCAAGGTTTGTGAGGAAGTGATTATTGGGAGAGGTATGTCATGTTCACGCTAGCCACTAGTGGCAAGTTCAGCACTCGCAGGCCTGCCGAGTATTGCAAGCTTTCGTGCAGACCCAAGTGACCTCCGCGCTGGCAGCTGCCGTTTACGGCTGAAAGGGGCGACATTGCACAGCACAGAGTGGATGCGCAGTTCCCACTGCTGCCCCTTCAACCCAGCCTCTTGGCACTGACGGCGATGGTTCAGTGCTCCATTTCCGAGCTCTCACCTAGGACCTACGTACTCCAGGCGGCAAAGTTAAACATCTGTTACCCTACACCCTAGAACATCCTGGGTTCATATTCCGCAGCACATCCTGTCGCATATAATCCGAACCACATGGCTGCTGGCAGTTTTCCATTGGAGGTTCCCATTGCTGCTAACCAGTCTTAGACCCACTATGTTGGAGATGGTTTTGATGAGGAGTGAAAGAAGGTGGTGGTGGTGATGGTGGTGATGGTTGTGGTGGCGGCGGTGTGGCGGTGTGGCGGTGTGGCGGCGTGGCGGCGTGGCGGCGTGGCGGCATGGCGGCATGGCTGCGTGGCGGTGGCGGTGGCGGTGGCGGTGGCGGTGGCGGTGGCGGTGGCGGTGGCGGTGGTGGTGGTGGTGGTGGTGGTGGTGGTGGTGAGTTCTTGTCGTCGGCGTCGTAGTTGTAGTTACCGTTGTTGTAGTTGTAGTGGTAGCAGGCCGTCCTAGTGCGAGTTAGAGGTGACTATAGTCCTGACACGATGCACGCATTGGTGCTAGCTGCTAGCAGCCATCACGCTGGTATTGAGGCAAGGTAAAACAACAAAGGCTCACTCAGAGCTAGCGGAATCCGTCATGACCGGTTTGGTCTGTTTCCGTCAAGGCTTGCCTTCCATCAGCCTTCGATTCGGAGCCTTACATGGCACTGCAAAACCCTTCATCCCTTGAGGTTTGCACCGAAAAATCCTCAGCCTTGGGCCCTGAGCCTTGAGTTCCTGGTAAGGCTGGCCTTTGCACAGCAGATCTTCCGCAGTAACGGCCTGACATCTTCAGGCAGAGCCTCTGCACTGTTTGGGGGCAATTTGTCGGTAGAATTGTGTAAGCTCAGCGGCCTCACAGTAACTTTGAACGCGCTCAAGGCTGCATTGCCAGAGTTTCGTGGCTTCAGGGTGTCGGCCAAATTCTTCGTGTTCCTTCTGCAAAGTTTGCAGTGCATCCGGGCCGTGTTGGGGACTGCTGGGCTGCCCCCCGTGTCCATCTCCCGAGCCACGGTTTAGGGTTTAGGGTTAGGGAAAGGGAGCCATGACCTTTAGGCACTTTACCCCAAGCCAAGATGAAGGCTCTGATGGTCTTTTTCATCTATGTCGGGGGAAGCCCCGGAGCCCTTGCAGCTTCCGCCAGGGCCTCAGTTTGTTTGTGGGTTCTCGGGCCAGCATGTGTCTTTAACGAGCCTGGCCTAGCAGAAAGCTAATGAGATACCTGCGCCCAAAGCGGCTGGTCGGGTGAGTGGGAGACTGCCCTCCTGCAAAAGCCAATGTGGCCCACGAGCGAGACAAATCTTCGTGGTCATTGAGCAAGTTGCACTCGGCATTGACCCAGACGCCCTGCTGTAGGGGCCCTAATAATTGCCCATACTATTTTCGGGGTTTCTTATTCTAACAAGAGTATACACCCAGAAACCCTATTCTAGTTATTAAGGCCCCTATGTTACGCAGAAAAAGTGTAGAGCAGAACCGTTGTGCCCAGGGCATCATCTTCCTGGTCTCGATGTTGCTTTCGAACGTCAACATCTTGGATGTCTTCGTTAGTGGAGACGTCGGTGATGACGGCTACTACACCTCGTACGAAGAGCCTCGGGAAGACAAGTTTGCTTTGTCGGGAATGTTTAGAGTTCCCGGTTCGACTGCGAACACTGGCTGCCGTAGCTTCTTCTGCAAGAGAAGCTACGGCGGTGCCTGAGAGTCCTTAAAGTACTAGTCGAAGGCACCGCTTCAAGTTACTCAGTACCAGCTTTCCGAACCGCACCCGAATCGTTGCAGGGATCGCTTGGGTCAGAAGCCTTGCTGCTTTCCTCATGGTTCTGTTGTTTTTTACCGGCCGAAACTGCACCTAAAGACCAAACAATCCTAAACCTGACCGTACATCCAAAACCCCTAATCCAAGCAATTAGTTAAAGCATCCCCCTTGTCATCCCTCTATGGTCAGACTAGGGTATACCCTGCCGAACCCTACTCTAATTCAGACTATTTTATCGGATAATGCCCGGCCAAAGCCCGTGTGGAGAAAGCCTCGCCTGAACGCCAAGCTCTGAAGCGGGATTTGCGGCCTTAAAACCACCAACACAGTTTTGGGAGCCCGAGCCTTAAGAGTAACTGCACAGGTTCGACATCACTGTAAGATCTTGAGAGGCCTCCTTCGAAGGGTGTGTGCCTCTGCATGTGTGTCTGTGTTGTCATTAAGCGGTTTGGGGGTGCTGCACGCTCTACTGAGTGCAGATCTGGTCAAAATGACTGCTAAGGACATCGAGCTCGACCGGATCTACCGGCAGCAGCGTGCTTCGTTAGAGCGCCGGAGGCTCCCAACCTTCGGATGAAGCCGTCTAAACCTCAGCCTTGAACCCTAAACCGGAAACACCACACAACCCCAGAAGATGCCAAGTTCTCTCAAGCATGCTAGTGCATTCGATTGACTCATCGCTGGGCGAGGAACCGGGAACGCTTGGCAAGTGCCACACAGCCAGGGTTTTGGCATCTCGGCCATCCTTTTGGAATTCTTATTATGTATTTTCGCCAATGTGGGCAGTGCGTCAACAGCTCATGCACTAGGATTCGAAATGTAGCTTCAGCCCCGCCCCTTAAGCTGTGATTGTCGACATGCCAAGTCGATCGGGTTGAATTGCAGCGGAGATACTTCAAACAGATCGGCTGGGCCCTGCAGCCTGTCATTCAACCCTTTGATAGAATCAGACCTAGCCGTACGGTTTAGGGTGTAAGTTAGGAAGTCAGGGGTTTTGCTCGAAGGTATTTGCCTTTGCCGTCTCAGGAGCACGCTCTTCACCTCGTGCGCCATTGTCACCCTCGTTTTCTGCATGATGCTAACTGCTGCTGTTGCCCTGTTCTATTGGAGGCGGAACATGGAAGTTTCGGAAGCTAAGGGACTCTCACTTAACGGGATCCGCAATTTCCCTGATAAACAGAAAGTCTCCAAGAAACCCTGTCAACACTCTCATGAAACCCTCCCCCAATACACTGTTCAAGAAACCCCATGATATCCTGAGTCTCTGGTTTCGGGGAGCCAGTCGCCTAGAGACTTCTTTGACCTTTGGGTTTTATGGCTTTCTGCTTCGAGGGTTTCAGACCTGGAGGGGTTTGGAGGTGGCAGCTGGCCGTTGCACGATACAACATGTGGTCGTCAGCGGTCTTGCATGGTTTTTTGTCATGTTTCTATGTGCTTTTCCCGTGCAGCGCGTCAGCTGTAGAGTCGCTGTAGAGGCAATTTGCCAGGTATTCTGCGACAGTTATGCCGCTCGCAACTGTCAGTCGTACTTTAGCAGATGATGTCAGCGGGCGCTCTTTCAACAACTTCCAAGTCAACAACGTGGAAACCGTTGCAAGTAGGTGCCAGACACGAACAGGGTCTGTCAGGGCCGCGCTGCTCCTAACAGTCGGCGGACCCTCATGTCGGACGTGTGTTGACTGTGCCCATTGTCACAGAGATTCAGCATATTTGGGACAGGATCCTCGTGACAGTGTCAGCTAGCCGTTGTGGGGGTGAAGTGCGCGCAGTAACAGGAATTCGGCATGTTTGGATCTGGGGGTGCCTGGGCGGTTGGGGGATGGATACCATGGGACGGGGCGGGGGTCGGCGAACCGAGATGCTGGATCATTAGGTGTGTGTGTGTGTATCATATGCGTAAATGAATAAGTATACATATATATATATACACACATGTGTGTACTTACTTACTCATCGTACGTGCATATATCTACATGTATGTATGTATGTATGTATGTATGTAAGTATGTATGTATGTATGTATATATATATATGTATGTATGTATGTATGTATGTATGTAATTATGTTTATGTATTCAATCTCATGCAATGGAACGAAATGTGCAGTAATGTAATGTATGTCTGCGTGTATATATATATATATATATGTATATATATATATATATATATGTATATGTATGTATATAGACGTGTCCATTTGTATCTCATCTAGTTTGTGTATACAAGCGTATCTCTCTCTGTACATACCATACTAGAGTAATGTTATATATGTACCCGCTGCAATGCCTGACAGACCTGATCTGCGCGAGCACCGTCTCGTCCGCGGCATCATCCGTCGGTTAAACCGTCTAGAGGCCGCTCTGGGATTCACAGGCTTCGAGTTTGCGGCATTGTGCTTTGGACTATGGTATGTCACGAGTGACAAAAATGTCGTTAAATTCAATCCCGAAATAATCTAGGAACTTGATTAAGAAACCCTGGCCCTATAACCCCCAATTTTTTAGGATTCATATAAAGAACCCTCATAAGGACCCAGGGTTTCTTAACCAGGTTCCTACACTAGTTGAATTCATTCTTATATTATAGGTTTAGAGTCAGAAGTTGAAAGGGACCCGGAGTCTGTCAACGTGGTTGTCTTCCAGGAGGTTGTGGGCATCCAAGGGACTCAGGGTGTCGGCCTGAAGGATTAGGAGGCAACTAAAGGTAACTTAGGGTTCTTTGAGCTCTGCAACATTCAGAAACGTCGAGGAGAGTAGGAGACAAGCAAAACAGTAATGTAGACAACACTCGAACATAGCTGCCGCAGCTGCCACGACTGATCCTATCATGCGCCACAGCAGTTTGGAACGGTATTACTGTCAAGAAGAGGGACTCACGCCAGGATCGCTTCATCAACTGGCTCGCCGAACGTGGACTGCGCCTTCTCCTGCATGAATGTATATGGGTGTATGCAGGGTTTGCATATTCTTCGCCGAGGATTTTGTACCTGTGGTTGCAGTAACAAACACTGGGGAGCGTAGTCCAAGCTCCGGCAAATCTGACAACAAGCCATACATGCCAGATGTAGCTCGACTCATGTAGTTCACGCATTGTTGAGCTGCCACCCCTCATGCAGCCGGGTGGAGCCTGAACATCCTCTCGAAGGCACCCAGAAAAGGCTTTTGTTTCGGATCGATCGCCTTTCCCGGCAAAGCACAAGATCGACTCCGCCGCAAGGTGGTTTACCAACACCGCACGTAGTCCACGACCTCGTGTGAGCTCTGCAGAAATACAGAAGCTGCAGAAGGAGACCTTCGATCCTCGGCGCTACGAAGGAACATATGGGAGTTTCCCAAAATAGGGGGCCCTAATACAGTACCCTTAATAGTAGGATCATCATTAAAAGGACCCCATAATCAGGTAGCCCTACTATTTTCGGGCTCTACAGTGCCAAGTGTAATGTACACCTGGGCATGACATGAATAGAGGCTTGACAGGTATTGTGGCTTGTGGCTTACATGTCTACGTCTACGTGCATGTGTCTCTGCAGCCCAGGTGCCGTGTGCAACTCCTGCTTGAAATCAGAACTCTAGCGCTTGATCATCAACATCATGAGGTCAGCGAGGACGAGCTCTCTCGTTGGTCGGTGGCGACCCTCAAAGAGGAGACGGCTGCGGAAATGCAGCCATGATTTGGTTTTCAGGCTTGGTTTGCGAAGCTTCGACGCGAGAGGACAACTTGAGCAGAGCAGGGGATCAGTAATTGTAAAGAATCTTCCAAAATCATCCGTGCTGGTGGTGGTGGTCGCCGCGCTGAACAGAGGGTGCTGCAACTGTCCTGCAACTTGCCGCTCCGTTCTTGTTACTCCTTTCCGACTCCACCTTAAGCTGCTACTACAGACAAGGAGCTGCGACGCCTTCAGCGTCAAGCAGTGCCTCAGCTTGGCAGAGGTCAGTTCCGAAGGTTCCCAAAAAGCGTGACAGTGACAGCTTTCGACTACGGTGGAAATATGTTGTTAAAGCACCGGCGGGCCGGTGATGTTGCTGGTTTTGAACTGTACCGGCGACGCTTCGCCACAAAACAAGATGAGTGAAGAACAACTACAGTGACGAGTGCTTGCATCAGTGCGCATCTTCACCTGCGAGGCATTTGCCTCTATTGCTTGCTGTTCTCTGGTACTCTGTGTACAGAAGACTATGTGTGCAGACAAATGTGCATGCGCATTTTCTGATGGCATGGCGATGCTAGTAATTATTAGTTGTTCTGCTTTCCAGTGCTGCTGTCGTTGCTGCGTCGACGGTGACCCGGCAGCCGCATCGGGAGCAGCTAGAAGCAGTGGTGGTAGTAGTAGTGGCAGTGTTTGCGATGCCCCACCTAAATACAGGAGGGAGTGAGGGCGGTGCTAGTCGTAGTCGTAGTCTAAATAGACGCAGAAGCAGGAACAGCGTGCTAGATACCATTTCTCTGCAGTCTGCAGTCTGTAGTGGCCAGCTCACCAGCAGCAGTGAATGTTGTGATGGTGTTCGTGCTGGTGAGTTGCGCTTGGCATCCCAGATCCGCAAGCAGCTTGGCACGTAGCGCCTAGCGATAGCAGAGGCCCTCGTTCGCTTCTTTGCGATCTTGTTGGACTGTTTGGTTGTATTTATGTGTACGTATGTATTTATGTATGTACGTCTGTATGTATGTGTTACATGTATGTACGGTATGCATGTGTGTATACACACGCACATACACATGTATGCCTGATGATGGTGCGTGCAGAGACTATAGACTGCGTCATTGCGTGTTTCGTCCGTTCGTACATCTGTCAGTGTGCATCTGGTCTTCTCCTTTGCCGCTACGGGCGGTCTTTTGCGCCATGCGCTGACAAAACTGAGGACATGAATCTGGGATTTGCAGGCGGCAGCCAGACCAGAGACGCCTGGACAAGTGTTTGAGAGCATCAGTTCTTTCAGAGTAGCACGCTGCAGAGGGGCCCGGCGCTGAAGCCGGGACTTGTTTCATGCGATTGTCCCATATAGCCGAAAACAGTGGGAGATGTTTGGTTCGTGTGGCTTCGGGAAGGAGCCCGTCGTTTCGAATGGAAGTGAGGCTCATTTGCAAACAATGCCCTTGAATGCCAAGGAAACGCAGCTGCTGCTAAGAAGTGGTGTGGCCATCGAGAAAGCTGAGCTAGTTCAAGCTGTTCCTTGGCCTTTCAATGGCCAGCCACGATGTTGTGATGTAGTGCGCCACGGTCCCCCGAAGGTTTCGGTACAGCCGAATTAAACCTATGCTATGCTAGACTGTTTACATATTTGACATGAGTGTGACTGTTTGGGTTCACGGTTTGGCGACTGCCCTTGCTGCCAGCTCCAGCACTGTCAGAATAGTAAGACACAGCAGTCATACACATATAACACTAATAACGGTAACGCTACTGGTAAGACTTCAGAAAAGACATGAAACCTATAACTTTGCCGTACATACAAATAAGAATGAGCTTCGTAACGTTGCTCGAACCCTAAACTAAACCCTATACACGGCCCCTCTGGGGACTCTAGGAAATCACTTGTCGTTTGCAGACCTCGCCTGGTATTGCCGAGTGTGAGCGTCAAAACCCCAATCCTGAGCTTGTTTCGGATGTTGGCACTGCAGGTTCTGAAAGCCAGAGGAGGCTCGGTTTGGGGGTGTACGGTTATGGGGCAAGTCCTGGGGGTTTAGGATTTCGGGGTGAAGATGGGGTTCCTTTGCGCGTCCACAACCATACTTCCCAGTGCGGTGGGAATTCATTCCTCTTGAGAAGAACCCATAGCGTGCTGGCATGTTCCAAGCAAACATTTGTGCAAAAGCTGCGGCGAGATCTTAGAAATCTTCCTTTCTGCACTTGCACCGAGTTTGTCAGAAAACGTATCCAAGGGAGGCACAAAAAGAACCCACCGGCAGTGCGTGCTGTGAGGGACCTTGAGGAACCTAGTGCTCGGGCTTGTCTGCAATAACAAATGTGGAGGGATGGCTGAATTATGGCCCCGATATAGTGAGTACAATACAGGCCCCGTGTGCTACCTTGCACGGTTTTCCGCTGTACGTACAGAGACTAGGTCGATGTGGGGTGATATACCTATCTTACACCATGTTAGTTCATAGTCTGTTCTCTACTCTCGGAAACTCATGGTGGGTTTTCAGCGTGTTGTGGTCGGGACTCCGGTCGTGCCAGGTGACTCCGGGATCAGCTGCGCAGCAACTGGGCTTTGTTCTAGAAGTTATTCTTGAGAAATTCGGTTTCTGCAAGGCGTCATCCGAGCACTCATTTTCAAACTTCGTTTCGGTCCAGGATTCAACTTTGGCTTGTTTTGGCCGAAGAGCCGTGGTTGACCGCAGACTTGGCGTGAAGTCGCTTTCATTGAAGTGGCGCTAGCTGCCTAAAGAACTGAAGACCTGGAGGAAGCTCCTTGTAACCGGAGTTGTTTGTGGAAGCTGCTTCATCCGGCAGTCCATGCCATCCCCACCAAAGCCATACATACATATATATATATATATATATTGAATTATAATTAAAATATTGAATATAATTATAATTAATATATTTAATATAATACAAGATAATATAGCTCGAGTGTCGCCAGTTTCTATGAGGCCCTCTCTTGATTCCCGCAGAAGCCACAGCCGCCGAGAAGTCCCATACTCTTCAGTGAGTTCCTGTTAGCTTGGAGCCCCAAGTCAGATGGAGTCAGATGTATACGTGACAAATCGGTAGAAACTCGTCAGCAAACATCGCTCTACTTGCCAGTCAGTACAGCCCCCGTTGCAACCACTATGACGATCACCATCATGTTCATAGCTGAAGACCTACAAGCAGAGAACATGTGTATAGAAGCAAGAGCAACAACAGTAGAGCTCTGCCATGGTCATGATAAAACACATACAGGCAGCTGGCTGGCTACAAAGCTTTTTGTCAAGGTGCTCGACTGCCCCAAACTGAGATGCCGAATGTCGTGTCTCTGGCAGGTGTGCTTGGCAAACTACGAGAGCGGACTGGGCCTTAGTCATCTCTCGTCACAGATTTTGCAGCGCAAGACCGTGCAGCAGGTAGTACTATAGGGGCCTATACTTTTAGGGGGGTTCCTTATTATAATTATAGTATACTGGGCCCCAAAACCCTATTCTAATTATTTAGCCCCTTTATTCTGTTCTTGTCCAGACGGCTGCGAATGCTCTACCAGTCTGCCTCCCCAAGGCTGAGTGATTCTAAAGCGGCCCACAGAGCCCAATAGTGTTACCCCTTAAGGCAAGGAATATGGCTTATACCATGACATAAAAGGGCCCGAATTAAGGTATATTTTATGGCTTATACAAGTACCATAAACAGGGCCCATAGTCAAGATATATTCCTAAATTCAGTGGTATTGGGGTTCCTGGGTGCTGTCGAGCTCAGGAGACGAGCTTCGGGTTCTGAAATGTGGGCACCGATTTCACTGCGACTGCGTGGACAGATGGCTCACACAGCAGAGTAGAACCTGTCCTTTGTGCAGCAAGCGCGTCTAGCTGAAAAACGTGTGCTCGGGAGGACTTGCGGGTGCGCTTATGTTGTGTCCGCGGTCAGCAGACTTCACAGCAACCTCTACCAAGTATTGCAAATTTGAAGAAGGATGTGTCGGTGGCTCTGCTTTTCAATCAAGAAGACGCGGATGTGAAGCACCGGAGTGTGTGAGAGTCCTTCAGCATGATGCGGTATGATAGGTTCTGATTTATAGATGCGCTGTGAGCTTCCTTACAAGGCGGGCTTGGACGATTTGTTGGTGTTTGTTGCCTCCTGATGTGATCTCTTCTTGTAGAAATGCTTTGCGGCAGGTGTTCAGAGCTGGGGTGCTATGTTTGAGAGATTTTGAGAGGTCAGTCCCTTCACCCTGAATATCAAGACGACGCTAACCTCGCCTGGCTTGCCGGGAGTGAGTTGTGAAAGAATAAACTCCAACGCTCCCTCCAAGCAAGCTTGAAATTGGATGTGCCGAACGTTAAACAGTACTATGTGGGCCTAATTACTGTATTAATGGCCCTTCAGTTCAGCAGAAGCTAGTGTTGGGGCTGCATAGGGATTGCGGGCAGGTGTTTTTCCATGCGCGGTTCCCACTAGAACTCTGTTACCTGCACGCCCATATTGGGAAGTTCCCTTCAGCTTTTGGCCTCAAGGTATGCATTCCGGTTTCACTGGAGAGGAGGTGCGAGAGGCCAGCGCTCTTCTGACGCGATGCAATCCTGCAAGCTGCGCATCAGATTCTGTCGGGACGCTGCCACTTTGTTACGTGCTCGTATCATCCACCGGGACTGTCAGCCTGATTGTGGTAGAGCCGATCTATTTAGCAGCCGTTGTCTTGTTTTGAGATGAGTCTGGGGGTTTGGCTGAGCTGATCCCGTCCCTGCAGTGCAGGCAACGGTCGTTCCTGCCATCCCGCACGCATCCCAGACGTAGGAATGCAGGGCTGCGACTCTACCATCACATGTTCGGTAACCAAGGACTGAGCATGGACATGTTCTTTTCAGCGGCCAGGGGCTTTCAATAGTTCAGTCAAGGAAAGCTTTAATTTTTCATCTGGAAGTAGCATCAGCATGGCAGGTTACTCGTTGCGAAGCAAGGCGACTTGCATCCTAAATTCACAATTCACTTGTCCTCGCCGGCTGCTCCACCTGACCTACGCATCTCAGCTTCTGAATGAGACCCAAAGCAGACCTGCTTGATAGTCTGTATAGTTTGCAGCCAGGAGACACAGGCAAGACGACAGCTACACAACACGTGATTTGGGAGACTTCCCCAACACGGCCACGACTTCAACCACCCGACACCTCTTTTATGTACAGCTCACTACAGCAGCCACCTTTCAAACGAGACCTTGCGCACTCGACGACACGATCCATCCCGCTCAGGTCGAAATACACAGAGGTGCCTTCACAAAGTACCGGGTGTGGCCCACAGCTAACATCATGACGGCTTTGTTGGGTTAGAGCCCGCTCTTACACGCGAAAGGGTCTAGAGGGTGCATGCCGGTTCTATTCAGGCAGGCATGAAGGCCTTGGTTTGCCTTCCAGTCCATGCTCTCCTGTCCACTGTTGCATCCATAGCTTGTAACATATACAATGTCATGTGCTGATCAAATTTTCGGCCCTTCAAGCTTGGACCATGCCATGCGCATCCCTGACAGCCTTCAGCCGTAATGATAGCTTCGACCTTGGCTGCGATCAGCGACAAGCACCAGGCATTCTGGCAGGCCACCAGCTCACGGTTCAGCAACGGAGGAGTGTCCGCAGCGCCACAAAACAGCAATCGAATAAATTTAGATTGAAGTTGTTGGTTGTCCGGCTTGAAAGACGCAGGATGCCTGTAGGGCTAAACAGGGTCCTTATTCATGATGGTTGTTGACGGTGGGTAGCGGGTAGCCACGTAGCCTCAACAAGCCCAAGCGTGGCCAAGCTGCAGTCTGACGAGCGCGCTCTTGCCTGCATGACATGTCGACAGCTGCCGAGGAGCAGATGGTCCTTTAGCTGCACAGCCAACCCCCCAACCTGGATTGGCTAGGCTAACTCGATCCGTGTTTCGGCTTTCACCGAAGTGTTTTTCTTCTTTTCGAGGGCGAAGGCAAAGCTTTGTCGGAGGTGAGCTTAGACCCCGCCATGCTACCTGCTCGGTTGTGTGAGTATGAGATCTTAAGCTGCACCGACCTCCCCTGCGCATCGAAACCCGGTTGTCACTGCCTTGCCTTTTTCTTCTGCTTTGTCATTTGTCATCTCGGCATGTTGGGTCGACTTTTGATACTCACTACTAGTATCCCCTTCCAGTCCCTATACAATTATACAACAGCAACAATAACCAAAGCCAGCAACCCTAACCCTAACCCGAACCCTGACCCGAACATACCCTAATAACCCTTAACCCTAACCCTAACCCTGACCTTGCCAGGCTTTGTCCGAATGTAAGTGTCAAAAAACCCTGGCCCACTCCTAAGCGTGACACTCTCACTAACACTAACACTGCGACGAAGACGACGACTGCTACTACCAATAACAATGATAACCATAACAAGACAAGAAGAAGCTTCTTTCACGGGCACTGTATGGTTTTCTTCTGGTGTTCCAGGGTATTATAAGGTCCCATCGGGCTGCGGGCAAGTCGACAAACCAAGAGTGCACGTCAAGCTTCGCTGGCGAGGTCGTGGAAGTCCAAACACTTGCCGGGACGAAGGCTCGGGCTTAGGGTTTATTGAGGTGCTTTTTTTGGACAAGGGTGGTATAATAGGGTGTGTTCTGAGTTTGTTGAGCCTATGGTCGGGAAAGCTGTGATTGGCGCTGAGTTTCTGAAGAACACTCGTGCCCTTCCGTCTCTGCTTTAGGTACTAGCTGCATGGCAGATTCGAGATGCACAGCGCCTTGCGTCGCGAACCTCGGTTCAACCACCCACCTAAGCCCTGATCCTCAATGACCTCGGAATGCGAGCACCAAAACCTAAAGCACCAGATGTCTCTTCCGGGAGCTCTCAAGATCTCCCGGGAAGGTTCGGTTTCCCTGGCCATCCCATCAGCCGTCAATTTCTTCTTAGTTGCCCACCCTAGAAGGCAATATGGAGGCCATAAACTTACCCTGGAGGTGGGCACAACCCGGCTGCCCTTGAATGCCAGCGTCCGCACCCTGCGAGATGAGATTCAGCGATGGCAGCGCCCCAAAGAGGCAACGGAATTCTCGGTCGGAAGTGCGTAAGAGGTGCCGCCAGTCCGGCATAAAAGTCGTTGAAAGCTGGGTCATTTAGGGAGTGACCCGTCTCATGACATAATATGTTAATAAAGTTTCGCACACTTCAAAACAGATGTATTGTATACTAATATATGTGTACATATATATATATATATATATATATATTTTTTTTTTTTTTTTTTGTTCCATTCCCGTGCCTTCAGAGGTAAGTACGCGGCCCAATTAGACATGCAAACGGTTAGCAGTATGCGCTCAGGAAGGCAGGCGCCTGTGTATTTACAGCTCGCGCCTCTCAATCCTGGCGCAGAAATCTGCAAAACCCAGCTTATCCCAGCTTTAGCGCAAGCATCGCCGCTGGATTAAACAATGGTGGAGAGTGACCCGGCACCGTAGAAGGCAAAAGCCGTCTCCAACTCAATCAAAATTAAGGGGCAATCCTAAGGCCTGAAGCTTTAGAAGCTACAGGAAAAACCAGGCAACCGTGCTATCGCAGCTGCCACAAAACAGACATCAATCGACAGTGCGGAGATCGCCCTGTAGTGGAACGAGTCTTCTCCTGGGCCAGGGAGCTATCTCATGCCCACATAAGAACAAAGCCCTGGGATGACACAGCGCCCTCTCCGAGGCGACTGTGATCATCAGCAGAAACAGCAACAAACTAACTACTTGCACTAAAGACAAACTTACACTCAACATGGCAGTTCACCTTCAGGGTGATCGTTCCATGCTGGTGACCAACCTATTAGGCCAGCATCTGCTCAACAACGACGCTCTCAGAACTCATAGCCGTAGTCTTCTTCCCCTCTCTCGCCCTCAGCTGAGCCGTTTCGATGCCAACCTCTTCGTAGTTCTTCTCCAAGGCCGCCAAGTCTCTGCAAGCCTCAGAAAACGCGCCCTCTTCCAAACCCTCTCCAACGTAGTGGTGGACGAAGGCGTGCTTGGAGCACATCAGGTCAAACTTGTGATCGATTCGCAAAACACATCGGCGATGGCAGTGCCGTGCGAGATCGCGGTGTATGCACGCATGACCTTGGCTAAAACACCACCGGGCACCGCGGTGAGCGACTGGTAATAATCCCGCATTTGAAGCCGGTGGGGCACCAGTCCACAAATTGGATGGTACATCGGGTGTTGATGGTCATCGATGGTAGCCGCCATGCCGCATTCACATCCTTCGGAACGACGTCGCCATGATACGTCATGCAGCAGGCCATGTATTTGCACTGGCGTAGATCGCACTTGACCATCATGGCTGCCGGCTCGAAAGCGGACATGGTGATGTCCGCCACTGACAGCTGCTCATGGTAAGCCTTCTTAGCCGAGATGACCGAGGCATAGGACGTCAACATGAAGTGGATGTGTAGGTATGGGACCAATTTTGTCTGGGACTTTGTGTTCCAAGGTGAGCGTCAGGATCTTGACAAAGATCTGCATGCCGCCTCGCAAGTGCGGCGCCAAGTGAAGGGTCGATTCCTTCTGCCGGTAATAATCCGAAAGAGTACGGCCGCACTCAAACTGCCTGCCAGCAAAGATCAGGTGCTGCTGGTCGGCGGGATGCTTGCCTTATCTTGGGACTGTGCCTTGACATAGTCGAACATGCGGCTGGCCCCGCCCGGAGAATGGTGGATGTGCTCGTCACAAGTCCACCAGTGGTCGTCACAACTTGCGGAAGAATACAAGGTCGCTGGGAAACTGCTTCAGCCAAGTCCATTGCGGCCTTCCGGGGCATCCAGTTTGGCACGGCTGTAAGATGGATGCCTCCCAACCTCGCGTGTCCATCAACGACAGTTGCGACCGCAGATGGCCCTGCGTGCTTCCAGCGTGATCCAAGTCGGCGCCATGCTGGTCAAAGCGAAAAGTGTCTGTACCTCATATATATATATATATATATGTTGACTGTGATTAATCCGATATAACCTCACTGCAACATAAGAACCCTGGAAGGCCCAGTCTCCAGGATGTAGCCGGTAGCTTGGCACGCCCAAGCCTGCATCTCTACGGATGTCATGCGAGTTTTCGGGGTTCGGCTTGCAGAAGTGGGAGGTTCCGTAAATTAGGGGTATTCTATTACGGGGTCCTCAAACAAGGATCCTAATTAGTATTTAGGGCACTATCTTAGGGTCCCCTAGTTCGCAAACTCCCAAGTGGCCAGGGCGCCTACGAGGATCCCGAAATGAAGCTGGGATGCAAACGGAGAGACCCTGAGGAACCACGTGCTCTAGCGGCTCCCTTTTGTGATCTTACCCATGGTATCGGATCTCCCATGCAGCGTTCCCACAGCTGAGGTGCAGTAATTAGTTGAAGTTCGCCAAAGTTTTGGAAGCAGCACAGCCGTGCTGGCAAGCATTCGGCAGTGTGTGTATTTGTGTGTATAGTTCTATATTCACATGTATGTACACACATGCGTCTATACACATACAAGCGCGCACGCAAAGACCAAGGCAGATAGCAAGATGTTCCTACCTAGATGTGTGCATCAGCATTTATGCAGCACTTGTGTTTACTGATTTCATCTATCTATCCGTCCACTCCATACCTTTATTTGTTCATGTAACGCACTGCGTGTAGATATATGTACATATATAACATACACACATGCACGTATATAGGTATGTTATCTACCATTGAAGACCTCTGTGCTCTGAAGCTGATCCACTATCCCAGGAAACTTTTAACCGGCCGGTCGATCTTGGATGACAGGCGCTCGGAGTTCGGAGTGTGGGAGCTTCGGGTGTTTGGGTCACCGGACCTTGGGTTTACATAGGCTAAACCCCTAAACCCAAAGCCCCTAAACCCCTAACCCCCTATACTGTAGTTATAATAGGAACTTCGGGCGACTTCCGTTGAAATAGGACCCCACATCGAAGAGAAGCGGAGATCTGGGAAAGCAACATAACGTGAAGCCCTAAACCAAAACCCGTACAAGCTCTAGACATGCCCTTAGAGGGCAGGGGGCGTTGAAATGGAACAGAGTTCGGGTCTTTGCTTTCCAGGACCCGCCCTGGGGATACATAAGCTAGACATGAATTCGCTCCCTCCTAGCAGATCCCTCGCACAAACCTTGTAAAGAGCCCTGTAAGGAACCCTCTAAGTTACTGACGCATGGAAGTTCCAACTGTCCGACATGTGCCAAGTTCTTCCGCTTTCACATTAGCATTATCGGTATTCTGAGCTATTTGTGATATCCATGAAGAATCGGTTGGCAGTGTGAAACTGACAGGGTTGTGAGGAGCAGCATTCTGTTCGACTAATCTTTTGATCCCGTGGCTGGGAGGCAACCGCTGCGCAGCTATTGCACCTACTCCGGCGAGCCCCTAGCCGCCCTGCTGAGAGTACGTTACGAAGAGGTCGAGTGAAAGTGCTTGCCAAATTGCATGATTCTTTTGATCATCTTTACCACAGAATACGCTACCGTACTACCTTATACCATATTGTACCGTATTATGCCTCATTATGCCATCTTGTGTATATATATATATATATATTATATACACATTTTTCTATATACATACATATCTATAATGTTATGTTATATTCAAGTAGATTACGAATTTCTTGTTATGAGCAGAGCAGCTGCAGAGGTCGTCACGGCTGTGAAAGGGAAGACCGTGGATGTTGCAGTGCAGTGTGGCCAGGAGTGGGTGCGTGGCGCTGCTTGCAGCCACAGCGAAACCAACTCAGTGCCCAAAAGGGTTTAAGGTTCATATACCTTACAGGGAGTCATAGTATCAGGGTATAGGGTCCCTACTTTTAAGGGTCTTCTGGTGAACTCCCCTGGTTCCCAGATCGACGACACGACGGTCATATCGGGGACCTATGCACGGCTTGCTAGAAGAGCCCGGTAAGCTTCCTTAAGACCCTTAACCCAAACCCTATGCTTAGGGTTAAAGGGTGTAGGGTTTAAGGGTTTATGAACTCCTATTCTACTACATGATAAAGCCCTTAAGCCCGGAAGAACGCCGTAGGGAACCATCCGAGTCTGCCCCGGTCCCGATCCGCAGGAGACACTTCTCATGTCCGTCTCGACATCCACCACCGTGGCCATGATCAAGGACATTTCTTAGGCGTACTTATAAGTATTTCTTAATTTCTTGTTCCTTTAACCACTAAGAAACAGCTAGTTTTGTAATTTTTGCTAGAGGCCTAAGTTCAATATAGACATGCGAGCCCCTTAATCTTAAACCTGGGAATCCTCGCCAAGGCTTGTCCGAGAGTGAGTGCTGAAACCTTAAACCTCGAAACCCCAAACCATAAATAGAGAGAGGAACAGGGGCAGGTGTTGGCTGAGCAATGCTCGTTGAAACTATTTGCCCCTTGCCAAGCACTACCTTCGTGGTGTCTGCGCCAAAACCCCGACATAATATAATAGAGCCCTATAATCAATTCCCAAAATTGTTCTATCGGGCTCCTTGTTGCAATTATGGTATAGTATACTTAATCCAAAACCCTATTCTGATGATTGAGATCCCGTTGGTCGTGTCCAAACTCCAAATGTTTGCCCCCATGGTTTGTGGGAGCTATGACAAGCGAATTGATGGGACTGCCAACACTTCAAGCCCCGAGCAAAGCAAATAAAGACACTTGAGACCCAAGCGCCCTAAACCCTAAACCCTAAACCCTACTGAGTTCTTGAGGCCTGGGCCTGAGGTCTTGAATCCCAATCCAGCCTGTTTGGATAGACACCCGTTTGCTACACGAGGCGGTCTCCGTTGTAGCATCGACCCCAAGACCCTTAACAACATTCCCTTAAGCACCAGTACATCTGAAGGGTGGGCTTGCGAATTCCAGAACTTGAGACTAATTGGATGTGATGTCAAGCATTGAGCCTCCAAAAGATTTCAGGGATGCTTGCTGTCCAGGGCCGTTTGGTAGAGGCAGGCGATAGTCCACCCTTTACGTCTGCGTTTTTGTCGAAGCCAGGACCAGCTCTGTGATGATCTCGGCTGGGACGTGTCCCTGGCACGGCTTAGTCTACTATTGCCGCTGGAGGCCAACCGTTGGGGTGATGGTAGTGTCTCAGGTTCTCCCGGAGGCAACTACATGCCTTTGTTTCGGTCCGGGTTTCGTCAGGAGCGCGGAGGTTTGGGAGGGGTGCTAGTCGAATCCCGCAAGAATCCCACGAGAGGGAGAGGGTCACCTTTCTGTCAAGTCCTGTTGGAAACTCACTGAAACACCGTGTGCGTCACACGTTTTACTGTTTCTCCATCGGATCTTCGAGAGAGAGCCCCAGGCTTGCCGCCTGGGCTCCCAAGCCCTGAACCGAAAGACAAGGATGAGCTAGGACCTGTGGTTCCATGCACGTGTTTCGAAGCTGCAAAAGGGTTACGCGCATGATTTGTTGGTTTCCGCATGAACAGGGTTCCACCCCACTATTGCATTGACATTGGTGCTCCAAATCTCGGAAACTTGCTGCTTCTAAAAACCCTTCCAATACAGAAGCTTCACAGTGCACCGACAGTGTACATGCGCTTGCAATTCATACATCCATCAGCACCACAACATCCACCACCACCACCTCCGCCGCCACCACCATGGCCACTGCGTGGGTAGGATTCAGGGTGGTGGGTGGTGATGCAGAACCCCAACCAAAGCAGGTTCTGTCTCAGTCGAGCTCATCCATTTGACTCAATAGACCTTTGGCCACATGCCTCACCCGGACAGTCCGAATGTGAGCGCCGAGACCCGTGGATACTCGTAATATATAGGGGTCGGAATAATTCGCATAAATTAGATGATTGATATCCCTTACACAGTGCTCGATAAAGTTATAGCACCATGTACCGATATAGTTAGATGCCTATATGGGAGTTTCCGAAAATGGGGGACGCTAATTACAGTACCCTAAATAGTAGGATCCCTATTATGAGGCCCCCAAAATAAGGTACCCCTAATTTTCGGAAACTCCCATATGAAGAGGTATCAGGATGCTAGGACTTTGCAGGTGCTGCCCCTCGACGATGAGGATCTCCTCCTCTCAAATGGCTTTGTTCCCGGGAGCTTTTTTCGGCTGACAAAATGGACGCCTAATTGATATAACCCCCCGGTATCTTGAATGGGAATACGGAATACTATAGGTATGCAAGCATGAGGCCTCTAAAGGGCGTGTAGTAATCAGGGGTTACATTAGACTGATAGTGAGTTGTCTCGACATGACTGCTTCCTGGTAGAATCAAGCTTCTGTTTGGTTGGAATGGAACGGCCAACTCAAGCGCAGCCGTGCTCGTCCGTCGACCCTTCGAACAGCGTCGCCCAAGCACGAGCATGGTGCGATCGAGTCGAGAAGCGGACTTGGCAGCATCCTTCACGCCTCCCGATTCGGAAAACGAAAGCTGGTTGAGGTGCACGACCCAAAGTGGTTCTGTTTTCAAACTGAAGCATCATTGAAATACGTTTTATGTTCGGGGGCACGCCTCCTTAAACTCAAGCTCTATCTACATTCAGTATACATATATATATATATATGTGTTTATACATATTTCTACATATATACACGTATGTATATGTACTTACATAGTATATATACACATAGCTCATCCCATGGTTTAAATCACCTCTGGGTCTAAGAAGTCGGTGGTTGCCAACTCCACTGCACGCTCTGCAGCTGACGATTGAGGAGGCCAGCACCCGCCTGGCCGGTACAGTCAGCTGGAAAAAGGATCAGGGTTAGGGCTTAATATAGGGGCCTTAATAACTATGACTATATAGGTATAATAAGGAACCTCAAAAGTATAGGTATTTATGAAGGCCCCTATATTACATGGTATTGGGTTTAGGGTACAGGGATGGTTTAGGGTGTAGGGGTTTGGACTGCTCTCGTCCACGCAGTTTGTTCTCAGGTCTCAGGCATTTGCCAGCAACACCAAATCTTTTCCGTAATTTCGTTCGGTTTTGTCGAAGTAGAGCGACCCATTACATCACACCAGCCCGATTTCTCAGAGGTCCGTTCCGGGTTTTTCGCCTCTCAGCCCGCGCCGCATCCTCCAGGCGGGGTAGAGAAGAGTTTCAGGGTTTAGTCAGAGGGCTGGGGCTTATACGGTCTAGGGTGGTGCAGAGTGTGTGGGGTAGCCGCATGGCACAAGTGCACGGCACAGTCGGCCTGTTTCGGGGTGATTCGGTTAAGGCTAAGACTTATAGTACTATAGTATTACACTACTTTTGTAGTATTTTTGTATATTATAGTAGGCTAAGATGCGCTGATTCGGTTTCGGGGCCCGGATTTGCAATGCACATGTTGCTCGTGAGCAGAAGGAGACCCTGGGCTGTGAAGAAACGGGTCGGCAGAATAACCAGCAATGTACGGGCCTTAAACATTTGAATAGGGCTTTTGGGGATTCCGTCTTGTAATAGTATACTATACTCCCAAACCCTATTCTTAATGATTAAGGTCTCTACATTACTTGTCCTCAGGGTTCCATCATATCACTATACTGTACCCAAAACCTTGTTCCAAGGATTAGGGCCCCTGTATTGGGTCTCAGTTTCTTTGTGGCTTAGGTTTCTGTGGACAGTTAACATTCCTCCTGTTCCAAGGTGAGCATGATTAGTTGTTACTGGCTGGGGTGGGGCGACATGGGGCGACTAGGGGAAAGGCCGTCATGAAATAAAGTGCGACTTTAGCTGCTTCTTTTGACACTAGAAACTTAAAAATCGCACGAACTCTGTCAGCGCTTTAAAACGGCTGGCAGTGGTCAAGAAGGTCTATCTTAGGGGTTTCTGGCATCACATTGAGCATTATTATTAATTAAGCACAAGTTCGACAAGGATGACGAAAAGCACAACCAACTGGTTCATGATGCTTGATCTGTAAACCCGTCACGTGCTCACAGCGAAGCTGCGTCTTCAGGACTCGCCCGTTTGTTACCGTGGCGGGTGTCGGCATGGCATAGGGTCCCACATCTCCGGATAAGTTGCCAACCACTGTGATAGTACAGCACTTAGCCTGGAGCCTTAAAACTTGAATCCTGCCCGGGCTCACTTGAGAGCGAGTGCTAGGTGACACTTTCCGAGTGCATTTTGTTAGTGATGACGAACCAGTATTATCTGCAGACCTTGCCTGGCTCCCGAGCGTGAGTGTAAACAAGCCAGGGTTGTGATTTTGCTGTGTGGCTCGTTGCGTGTTGAACACGTCGTAGGATGCTGTGCTTCGCAGCTGATTCTTTGTGGGGTTCCGCATAGTCCTTTGTACATTCTTGGTCCATGGTCGTGTTTCTGCACGTATGCCCTCTGAACCTTGGAGTTATGTGAGAACAGTGTTCTTTGCACCTTACAGAGGCGAAGTCTCACGGGTCTCTCGAAACTGTGGGATTTTGTGCTCAAAGGAGTGTTTTCTTTTCGTTCGAGGCTCGAGAGACCGTTTGGAGTGTGTGATGCCGACAGTGTTTCGAGTCACAAAACCTCATCGGGTACAGCGCATGTGAGAGTGTAAACTCAAGCTTCGTCTGACAGTCCTAGAGTCTGAGACCCAAAACCAAAGGAAGTGGAGACCAGTTGCTTAACTTATACTATTTATCTCAGGAGTCTGTTCATGGCTGTTGGTCTTCTTCAGGGACCGTGGCCGCAGCTACGGGTCGAGTGCCTTTTGCGCAGCCTCGGTGTTTATGGTTGTGAGAATCACTGATGGCCTTGTTACTGTTTATTACGCTGAGGATCCGGGTCTTGCCGTCTTCTGACCCGGAAAGTTCGTGCGAGTCTCCCTGCAGAGTAGCATCGACAGCCAGCTAAGAGGCAACCCTAAACCCTATAACCCTAAACCCAGCGGGCCCTCCAGGTTGCGTCGCCGCAGCGTGCAGGCACGAATCACTCAGGAGAATTTTGAGTTGAGTCTGTCCACTACGACGACCACCACCGCCTCCACCACCTCCTATTGCCCCAACAAATTACAGTAAGTACTCTAGAACTACCGCTACCACTGCCACTACGACTACCATGACCACCACCACCACCACCACCACCACCACCGCGACCACAACCACGACCACTACCACTACCACCGACGATGACGTCCACTGCTGTACAACATCAGATTTCGCAGCTTGCACATTATACAATCTGCGCAATATCTCTATGCATGTCTTTATTTTAGTTCAATTTCGACCAAAAAGAGTAGTAAACACATGTGTATACGTATATAATGTATATATATATATACACATACCCTCATTCATGCATATGTTGAGCGTATGCTGTCTCCGATACCTGGGGCACTGTGTAGCCGTTTGGCCACTCATGCAGGAGGGCGAAGACTTTTATTCGCAACCCAACAGGCAACACACGTCCGAGCCTCCGGAGCTACCATAAACTCAACCATGTCAAGCTTCCAATGTGTCTTTGGCATACCCGGGGTCCTGCAACTGTCCCTTTCGAAGCTTTCTCAAACGTTGCTTCCTTCCGCTTGCCATGGATGAAAGCAGACGGATGACGCTAGCTTTCACTTGCGAAGCAGAGACTGTCTTCGGACATGAAGTTCGAGTTGTTGGCTCCACAAAGGAGCTCGGCCACTGGAACCCGGCTTTAGCGCCGGCACTCAAAACTGACGCGTCCACCTACCCCAGGTGGTTTGGTTTTGTTGATTGCCAAGAATGCAGCTTTGAGTACAAGTTCGTGGTCTGCTCTGCACGAGATGGCAGGGCGATCTGGGAACAAGGTCGAAATCGTTGTTGGAGTTTTTCTTCTGATGACCATGTCCACACTACAACTCCGGCAGAGCTCCTTGTGTCCCGCTTTGGTGTCGCAGACATGACTGGCCCTCGGATTATGAGCCGGAAGACCAGCTTTTCTCAGCACGAGCGCGCAGTTCCAGTTCCCTTCATGCCGCAAATGGAAATCAATCAGGAAGTTGTGCTGGACGTATACTGCACGGAAACCGAAGTAGGCGACACGGTGATAGTGGTGGGCTCCTGCGAGGAGCTTGGACAGTGGAATCCAATCAGTGGGCTTCAGCTGTCCACTTCTCACGAGACCTTCCCACGTTGGAGGGGGAGCGTTCATCTTAAAAGCACAGATTTTGAGTTCAAGCTGATGATCGTGAATGTCAAGAAAAAGTCCGCGGAATGGGAGACATCAGAGAATCGGCGGTTTCAATGTCCTGGCTGCAAAGAGGGCCAATGGCAGGTTTCCTGCCGGTGGAACAACAGCTGCTGCAAAGTGCAGGCCATAGAAGCTTCAGGGAAGAGCATGCGAGTCAAGCAGGATGCGGACGCAGCCCTGGCAAGGGCCGCCTTTATGCCGACGGTGAGAGACACAGACTCAGACACGTTTGCAGCTACAAGTGCAACGTCGCCACAAAGAAGGACTGGACTAGCCCAGATGATCCCGCAGACCTCGGGATACCCGATGCAGAAGCAGCCCCACACTATGACAACTGCCTTTACAGGCGCTACTCCTCAGCGAAGTACGTCGTTCAGCCCACTTCTGGCAGAGCAATGGGCTCGCAGGGAGAACGCCTGCCCTTCTAAAAGCGAACAGCGCTTCTGTTTCAAGATGAAGAATGTGGAGGAGAAGGATGCCAAGAACATACAGGTTGAGCTCGTTCTTCAAGAGCAAAAGCCGGCCATCACACTCAACATGGAAAACTACGACGTGGAGGAGCAACAAGCGGCTTGGTTTTTGGCGGCCCCTACTACGGACTGGACTCCTGGCTTTCACTTTTTTTGCTTTCGTATTAACGGTCTCCTCATGCTTTCAGCTGACCACATGTGTTTGGGCCACTGGAACGTCATGCACCTGAATGGTCCACTTCGTCGCTACCTGTTGGCCAGGGACTGCAGGGGTCAGCTATCACACGGTGAACCCATTCTCGAGACGAGACGGTCCAAGCAGATTGTGGACATGGCGATGGATTCCTTCGTGGCCTCCGGGTCAACAGCAGATACAGTTGGCCTGCAGGAACTCGCCCGCCACTCCACCATCGCTCGCCCTTACTCTGTCAGCGGAAATTTACTTAGCAGCACCGATTCGGAAGACAAATCAGCTCACAATTCGTTCAGGCCTTTCTGTTCCGCAGTGTACGAAGGTCTGTTTGACCGCGAGCTGATCCTCCGCATGGACGGGGTCGTCCTCCCAGAGCCTCCGATGCCCCCAACGAGGACCGAGCCGCTTGATGAAGGTAAACTGCGCCTTTGGGGCGGTGCCCACTCGATCAAAAAAGCACACGGCAAATGTGAAGACGCCTATTTCCTCGATGCACATGGCATGGGGGTTGCCGACGGCGTCGGCTGCTTCGCCACCTACAAGGACTATGGAGTGGACGCCGCAGCGTACGCTGCGGACTTGATGCAGCACGCCTGCCTGGCTCTGCAGCCCGGGGGCCGGGCCTCAGAAACGGAGATGGGCGTCGCAGACCGCGCTGCCCTGGCCGTGGCAGAAGCCGAGTCAAGAGCGGTGGCTTTTGGTGGCTCTACCATTGCAGTGCTGTGCCAAAACAGATCGCAAATAGGAGTCGCCAACCTAGGCGACAGCGGCTTCCTTCTGCTGCGACGTGGAAGGAAGGGCATGCGCATTGTCACAAGATCCCGAGAGCAACAGCACGCCTTCAACTGCCCATACCAGCTCACTCGCTTACCTGAGGTGCCTAGGTCTCCAAGTAGTGCGCTTTTGCTCTTTCCATTTTGGGGTGAATGGTGGAAATACGGTACCCCTAGCACAAGTAATTAGTAGCATAACGGGCTATTGGGGAACCCAGGCCCTGTTGGGACGTGTCTCGAAGAAGCGGCTCGCGAAAATCGACACAGCCAGTGACTGCGAGTATTATACCGAAGAAATCGCACAAGGTGATCTTGTGCTCATGTTCTCAGATGGCTTCTCAGACAACATGCACGACCACGAGCTTCTGGATATTGTCAACAAAGCCCTGTCGCCAGCCAACGCAGACATGCTTGGGGTTTTGGACCGTTGCACTCCCCCGGCTACCATCGCCAAGGCCCTTGCCTTGGCGGCCCTGGAGAGGTCGATTGACGAAACGGCCACGGTGCCATTTACGGCAACCGCAAAGCGGCACAAGGTCGAGTGCCGTGGGGGCAAAGAAGACGACATCACTGTCGCAGCGGCATGGGTGGTTCCTGACCAGTCAGGGCTCACTCCCGATTCCGTGAATGTGGAGAAGATTCTGAAGCACATGCACGCAGAGGCGGCCAGAGAGGTGTCTCATGAAGAGTGCCGAGACGAGGAGACTAAAGGAACCCTTGCCAGGACATTGTTTGAATCAAGAACTCGCGCACGAGGTACTGTCCAGGCTGGCGACAGCAAGGTCGAGCTCTGTGGGCACAGGGGGCCATCACTCCGCCCCTTGAGCTCCTCAAAGGTCGTGTAGGCCGGATTTAAATTTTCGATCGAAGAAAAGGGTCGGCTGAACAGGTACAGAGTCCAGTGCACAGGCAGAAGAAGACCAGGCCCGACTGTAAGCATATACGGGTAGATATAGCATGACTAGTTTTTCGAGGCTGTACAGGGATGTCAAGACTAATGGCCCCGAATTTCTGCGTGGTTCACTGGCCTCGCAGCCAATGTCTGCTGACTTGCTGGTTTCGCTTACTCCCGTACGTTAGATGCCTATTGTGAGTCCAAGTATCCCAAGATTTACATTTTCCTGGGAGCTGTTGAGCCGCACCCTATCATGAGCCCGTGCCCCAACATGATCGAGGATTGTACGAGTCCGCAAGTGTCACTGATCGGGTGCAGGGAGGACGCCCCCCCAAATTCGAAGGAGCGCCTTGGGCAGATGCTGGAACTGCTTGCTGTAGGGGCCTTTATAATCAGAATAGGGTTTTGAAGGTTCTTTCTTATAATTATAGTAATAGTATCATATACCCCAAACCCTTTTCTAATTATTCAGGCCCCTACATTAGCCGGTCGCTGCAGTCGAAGACTGTTTCCTTTGTGAAAGGCAAAAGCCGGCTGGAATTCGGATCCCGACGGGGTGAATCAGTTTGCTCACCCCAAGTCTGCATGGGCACTGGGAATGGCTGCAGCACTGCTGAGTATCGTGACGCTGCCAAAGGCAACTCGATGCACGGTACTGTGGGGATCGGAATACATAATATTTACTGAATGTAAATTGCCTTGTATGGGTACATGTATAGATACATACATGTAGTATATTGTAACCTGAACATAATAACGAGCTTGTTCTATTTGTTCAGGTCCCTTCACTAGGCTGTCCATTTGAGCTCTTCCCAGAGGCAGGAAATTCGGGAGCCCTGTGCGAGGACCTGATCAGTTGCCACTGATCGTTGTCCGGCACAGGACTTAAATCGCAAACCTTAAATCGCTCTCGGACACAAAATTTTGTAGCTTCAAGAAAACACGAAAGCTTTTGTGCTGCATGCATGGATCGAGAAGCTCACCGCGTGTACACAGAACTGCCGCGTGTCGCAGTGCCTGCGTTGCCAGGGGTCCCCTCGCTGCGAGTGGTGTCCGTGGCCTGTTACCGCGACCAACCCTTGATTCTGCAAAAGTCATAGGCTTTGAATGAGCCTGGGATTCTCGTTTCAGGTAGGTGTGTGTGTGTGTGCATGTAAGTAAGATGTCTTGACTTGTCTCCCGAATTTCATCCAGGCTATGGCAGGCTTCTTTGCGCGGGGTGGAAGCTTTGCTTTCCGCGGCTAGCCTTGGGGTTGCTGGCTTGTCCATGAACGACCAACATTCCGTGACTGCATCGGGCGTTTTTGCTGCGAGGCAGGCTTTGGACATTGTGCAATGCATCTTTGTCGCCATGTGCACGACAGAAGCTCGTTAATTTAGCGTATGTTTAGTCATCTTAGTCCAGACTGAAACAGAAAGGGAAGCTCCAAGCCAGCTTCCACTGAAACCTTAACCTTTTCCAACGCTCAAAACAGGAAGCGACGCTGCCATTGCAGCAGGTCCGGACCACAGCGCCAGCCCCTCAAAGAGTAACAGCAAAAGTGCGCTTTCCGTGTTTCATATCTTGATCATGCTTGTGCAGCTTGTGGCTCACTTCATTATTATATACCTATGTTTATTATCAGCATGATTATACTTACTTTTATTAGTATCATATGAGTTCAGTGTGCAAGGGGGAGAGAGTCGCCATGCGCCATGCGCCAAACCTCGCCCCGGGTGCCCGAGTTGTGAGTGCGGAAACCTCAAACCCTGGAAAGCCCCAAGCCTCTCTGAGGGAAAAGACCAAGCACAGCAAAGGCCGCTACGATTTCAGCCACGTTTTCTTGAGGCTGTTGTAAGCTAGCATGGACTGCAGCTTCAGATGAAGGTCCTCAACTACCTGGTATCAGAGCTTGGATAATAAATGATAAAGGTGTTGTCTTGTAATCCCTATACACATATATTTGTATACATAATATATATATATATACACATACATACATAGATATAGTTGCCGGAAATATACTCCAAACCGCTGTTCGAATGTTCAGGCCCTTGTATGAAGTCCTACGCACGAGGTTCGTCTTCCAGAGCTTTGCTCAAAACAGATCTGGAACTGAAGGTTCCTCCTGTCGCGGAGCACACAGCCCTGGACAACCTGGCACTTTCACCACCGAAGGAAAATTAGATCTCTCACTTCGCCAACAGAAGAGCTTGACACTTTGTGGCGGTGTTTGCGTAGTATATTTAGAAACTGACGTGTCTTGCGGACGAGATATTGAAGAAGGGAGATTTCGCAAGTTCCGCAAGGTCTGAAAAGAAGCTCCTTTCTCCGGACTCTGCGCCTCTCGTTTTGCCGGCATGTTGTTTCAATATTCTGAGCTACCCTACAACGCTAAACCCTGAATGAGATTGGTATGATACCAGTAATCATGACAGTTAGTAAGTATCATCTTGCGACTATTCACAATGATACGAATGAAATGAGCCCTAAGAGAGGGATCGAACTTCGGACCAGGGAGGCTTCCGATTGATGAATCGTCGGTTTACAGCACTTTCTTCTTGGCCAAGCTTCGGCAGTGGAATATGCGATGCTGAACACCAGGTTAGGATTCAGCTTCAAACCCTCGAAGAATTAGGGAGAACTACTCTTGTAGTGCCCGTATAGATCCCTTTAAGGACCGCTAACGCCTTGAAACCTGCAAGCTGCAAACCTTAAATCTGGAGCCCCCGAAGTTGATGTAAGGCCCTGAACCCATCAAACCTCCGACTCGCCATCATCCAGTTTCTATTTGGCGCGATCATGCTCTTCGCGGTCTGAAGCAAAACTTTAGCGGCAGACAACCCTAAACCCGAAACCCTGAAGTCAACACTGGCAACTGCCAGGGGACATTGCGACGTGCCACACGAAGTTCGACGACGCTCCAGGACGTGTTGAGCTTGGCTTCCGTCTTGAGGGGTATGCCTGGGAGCAACATATGCGGACATGTGGTTTTGCAGCATGGTTGCCGTTGTTCTCACTACTTGTTCAGTTGGCACTAGCAAGCATATCCTTAATAATTGTGAAGACCCATGTGTATACATATGCATATATACATATACAGATCATTAATTAATCTTTAATTACTCTATATTTGCGCCTTTTTATTTATGTATTTTTGTCTTCTATGAAACCCCACACACACACACACGTGCTACTGGTATTAGTTTGTAAGTCTATCTATGTGTGTGTATATATATATATATGTATATATATATATATATATATGTATATATGTATATATATATATATATGTATATATGTATATATGTATATATGTATAAATATATACATATATATATACATATGCAACACATGTATTTTTAACAAGGCTGGCTGGCTGAAGGGATGGGTGGATGGGGTTTCGCTTGTATGTGTATGGATGGTTGCATGATGCCGCATGCCATCATGGATGGATGGATGGATGGATGGATGGATATGTGCTTGCTGCGTATGTGTGTGTGTATATATATATATATATATACATACATATTATTGTACCTGTATGCAGGTACCTAATGTATGTATGTATGTGTATATATATATATATATATATATATGTATGTATGTGTATGTTTATGTATGTATGAGTATGTATATGTATTCAAATTTACGTGGATGTATGTAGACTCAAGTATGTGTATGTTTGTGTATGTTCATATATGTACGGCATAAGAATGTATCCATGTCCATGCGTACATGTACATGTGTATGTATGCATATCTGCATTTGTGTGTGCATGTATGTATGTACAGGTACGGGTACAGGTACATGTATTCGTTATGTTTATGTGTACGTAGTCATATACGTATATGTATGCCTGTATGCATGCATGTATGTTGGCATGCGCGCATGTTTGCGCGCATGTAGGTCTAAGTTAATATATAAACAAAAGTACTAGTATTTGGATATTACATGTGTGTATATGTAGACGGGGAGGCAGGCAGGCAGGCCGAGAGACAGACAGACAGAGAGACAGACAGCCAGACAGACAGAGCCTTCTGGCGGGGTTGGGATGCTTAGGCTACTTAGGACTTCGGTATAGGGGTTTCGGGGGGTGGCCAGTGCGTCAGCTTTTCAATTTTGCTTTGTCCTCACCGCCCTCTTTTTCCAGTGCGCGGTAACGCGCGGAGGGTCAGCACTCGTTGACTCTCTTGGTTGCATGGAAGAAGAGCGAGAGATAGATAGATAGGTAGATAGTCGCTCACTTAACCTAGGACCTAGAGTAGGCCGTTATTCCCTTTTTTTAGGGTTTCTGGTTCCCTTATAAGCCTTAATAAGCCCCTTTAAGCCAAAAAGGGCAGCCTGTTTATTGCTATGTTACTCTTGGGTCTATAGTAACTAATTAATTACTTGATTAGTATGTTCGCTCAGACCTGTACTTAAGCATGTATATTGATTCAGGTTGTGCTCAGGGTAGAGTCTGGGGTGGTTTGTGCGGTGGTTGGCGACCAAAAACGGCTCAAAGCATATTCAGGAAGTGAAGGTTCCGAGACGTGGACGTAGGGTTCTGCGATAGTCTGGAGTTCCTGCCTAAGGTTCGGAATCATTGAACATAAGCTTTTTGGCACCTGAGATTAGCCAACTAAGACACATCTCCCCCAAGTTTCTGCCACGCAGGCTCAATCTTGCCATGCAGCAGGGGTCGAAACACCCTGAAACGGTATCGGATGTCGCACTTAAAAACTTTAAGACATTTACGCAAATATTAGAGAACCATAGCCAGAAGAATGACCATAATAGCACCAACAATCATAACCACAATCAGGGTCATCAAAATGATACAACTATAGTATTCATAGTAACAATTTGTGCTTCAAGAGCGCTAAGCAGCGGGCCCCGGAGGATCACGCGCGCGGGCGCAGCCCAGAAGGCAAGACGGGCACCCTGAACACCTCCAGTATACATATACATGTACATATATGCATAAT